GGGGGGGGGGGGGATGGGCACTGCTGGAATTGACTGATGCATTACCATTCAGTTTTCTGAATTCCCGCATTAAATCGGCGATCTGTACGTATTCAAATCACAGTTAAAAGCGCATTGATCGTCATATGTCTTTGCATCCATAGAAGGAAAGAGAATTATGTCCAGGTGTTCTTAGCAAGGTCTTACGACTCTCTACTTCATGATTTTCCTCTTCAGTGTCTCGTAAACATAGGTTGTTGTTTTTTTCTCTCAATTTTAAGGCCAAAAGTAATTTTCTGTTATGAATGAAAAACCACACCTTGAAACCTTGAATGTTTGTGCTCGGGTCGAACGGGCGTTCGTACTTATATTACGAACGGACGTCTTACGGACAATCACGTGACAACCAAACTTTTCTGGCCTGATAGGTTACCAAGTTTTCTTTCCCCTGGTGCTCCGCTCGCATGCCTTCAGTGCGCAGGAGCTCCGCTACAAAAGCAGACATTATCACCAGACATAAATTACGATTAAAAACTATACAGCCATAATAATAAAATGCCTTTTGGGGGCCTTCCAAATTTATTATAGAAGGCATTCTAAGGTGGTTATTTTCCCTTGCCCTCCTATATAGAATGTCTATATTGCATTTTTAAGGCCAACCTCTGATGTACTATTGATGGTGTGCAACCCATCTCGAGAGATTTAATAGAAAAGTTGTGGCGACTATTTTGAATAACACAAATGAAAGAAGCCACTTGGAGAATGCAAAGCAAGCTGACAATGACGTCATAAGAGAGTTGAGAGTCAGCTTTGGTATTCCTTTTATTAGCCTTTTGCAATACAATAATTTATTCTTCTTTATATAAAAAAGTAATAAAATTAGAGTTGTCCGACGTTTCGATGTTGCTGACATCATTATCAAGGTAAAAATGACTTTTTTATCGCGGTGTGAATATATATTAGGGGAAATAGCATAATATACATTTGCTTGTGATCTCACGGAAATAGTTTAGCGCGGATAGAGTCAGTTTACACCGGCGTTCAAAGCTGACTTGAGATCTTGAATCTCAAGCCAAACTCTTAAGATCTCAAGCCAACTTTGAACGCCGGTGTAAACTGAATCTGCTCGCGCCAAACTATCCACGTAAGATCAAACGCAAATGTCCAATTCCAATAATTCATATTCACAACGCGATAAAACTATAAGTTTTACCTTGATAATGATGTCAGCACCATCGAAACGTCGGAAAACCCTAATTTATTATTTTTATTGAAGTTTTTGTATATACAATTACAAAATAGCCTTAATGACTGGGAAATAGTTTAGTGAACAAAAAAAGCCAAGTTGTTTAACGGTGCGGCGGCTTCAACCGGGGCCATAGCCTGCGAAAACAGCTGCCCTTCTTCTCTCCCAGCCCAAGCAAAGAAGGAGGGCTGTTTTCACAGGGAACCGGGGCCATGTAAGATTTTTGATATCAACATAACGTGAGTTTAAACAAGAGACGGTGTAGAACATCGTCTCTTGGTTTAAAACAAAATAATTTGAGTTTGTTTGTTAACGGACCAGCCACGTTGAAGCAGCGTATCTGTTAGATGTTGGAAAAAATGATTTTGGTTGTTGCTAATTAACTCTTATTTTGATGACTTGAATATATAGCGTAGCAAAGGTGCGAAAAAAAAAAAAATTGAACCCGCGAACATTCCATATCAGTATATATATGAACTCGTGCTCTGCAATTTGTTTTCCCGCCAGGATGAAAATCATTATTTCGTTCGAGTCCGGAGTTGTTTTGTAGTTACGGAAAATCTCTGTTCGGCTATTGTAGCCCTGGGTTTGAAGTTTTGTCCAGTCGGCGTGTTCGGAGTGTTCGAGTTATTTTGTTACTGGGTTTGAAACTATGATGCCCCTGGACCAAAATTCAAAAAATTTGTTGAAACTACTAAAAAAACACTCCAGTTCAGTTCTTCATTACGACAGTCCAGAATCGATCAAGGACTGTACAATCATTAGGCTCCTTCTCGACTCGGCAAGTGATGTGCGATAACAATGGCCTTCCTCTTCCATTACAGAACAAATCGCAAATCGTCTACTTGAGTGAAACTTGGGCGGCTGTTTGCTGATGTTTCTTTCGACAGTCGAACGCGGTGTTTTCTGCTCGCCTTCCGTCCTGACTCCTTCACATTTGGAGGGTGGTAATCTCTTTTTTCTGCTAAAAAAGGACTTTATACGTCTCCATTGAAATACTTTGGGTCTCTCCAGTTGAAATGAAACAGTTTTTACTTGCCTTTGCCCCATAACTCCTCGATTTCCTTCACTACTGTTCATGTTACGCTGCTATTCATTACACGGGGAAATGTTAAGTAATGACTTGTTTTGAACGGCATAACGTGTTGACCACCTATACCGATTTTTTCGGCAAATGACACAAAGAGATTAAAGAAAACCTAACTGGACAAAACAACCAAGAATTTGAAGTTTTGCCCGTTAGATTAAATAATTTCGAAATTATAATTGATCTGTTTGCACGAAAAGTTTTTTTCGGGGTGTGTCAAATACTACGTACTTACAATTATTGACCGAGTGGGAGGTCAATACGTAGAGACCGAGCGCACCGAGGTCCGTGCGTCCTAACTGAGGGCCAAATATTTACCCGTCCGGCCCGACCCCACTCATTCGGTAAGCATATGACCAGTTTTGTTGTTCATTTGTGAGGAGTGTTAACTCTCCCTCTGTACTTTCGGAGTAGGTTGGCAACTGAAGTAGTTCTGCATTGGACAGTTCACCAGGATAGTAAAATTCACTGTCAGAATGCTCACTTTCATTCAATTTGAAGAAAACAAAATTTGGCAGAAAAAAAATCTGTCATTGCGTTGATTTTAACTTGCAAGGATTTTGCGGGGCCGTCCGCGTTTCTAGCAGCGTCGTACGCGTTTTCCCGACCCAATCACTTCGACGCGTACGGGACCTTTTTCTTATCAGGAAATAACGCACGGGACCGTACGAGCCATATGGGGGATAAAATGGCTCATACACCATGATGGCTAAGCCAGTGAAAGTTCGAGAGCTTTCCTGTGGTTTTGTGAAACATAACATTTCCAATGATTGTCGTTATGGTTCGCACACGAAATTTTCCATTATCGGAATGCCAAAAACTGGGAAGGACACAAGTTTGTTTATTATATTTAAGTTTCCAACCCCTATTTCAGGTCTATTTACAACATTCGGTTATCAAATTAAAGTGATCTCAATTAGCTCGGCAGTGCCGTATTAGTTTAGTCCCGGGGGGCGCTGGTTACCGATGCTTTTGGTTTGACTCCGATCAATTGATAAAACTCTCTAAGACGAATACGAAAACAAGTAAGTTCATAGAAGAATAAGAGAAATTAAAAATAGTCATTTATTTAACAAAGTCTTACTTTCAAATATTGAAGAAGCTACTTAAAATCTGTAAAAAAAAAATCGTAATCTGACATCTCTTGTTAGCATTTCCACTGTCCAATGAAAAAAGTCGCAAATAATATTATCTTTGGAATTTTCTGAGCGGTAAACATGCAGGTTTTAAAATCCTTGCAAAATCTAACATTTCGTAGCCGCAAAAACGTTTTTTAACGAGGAGCCAAAGAACAAGACGTCTTGACTTGCTCAATAAAATCTTCTTAACCAACCAGCCTATGTTATACGGTCTGCTAAGAGTGCTGATTTTCTTTCATTCAAGTGAAAACAAGCTACTGTACAAATTTGATGCGGGCATAATTTAAGTTTGTCTCAGAAAATCTAAATTCTCGTTTACGATTGTAAACAGTCAAATTTAGATGACCACCAATAGTAACCTGTCTTTTGGAATTTCGAAGCTTAAAAAAGTCTCTTTCATCTACAAAATGGCACAAATGCCAGACTTTTTTTCTTTGGTTTTCCCTGCCTCGGGTTTGTCTGCCTTATCGTCCTTCTTGTCTTTTTTGTCTGTTTTACCTTTGCCATTCTTTTCTTCCTTGTCTCCTTTGTCTTTACTTTTTCCTTCTTCTTCGTCTTCTTCTTCGTCATCTTTATTTTCTTCGGCATGTTCGTCGTCTTCATCATCTTCCTCGTCTACGTTGTCTTTCTCCTGCACATACAATAAATACAATGTGATTAACAGTCCTCTCTATTTTCTTCTGCTGTTCACAGTATGCTGGACTATATTCAAACGTCTTTTTTATTTTTCTATTGTAGAAATTGTGGTTCAAGTGGCGTTTTTTTTTCTCTCTGTTCTGGTGTATGGCAACATATTATAATGTATACGAAACAAAGGCAGATATACCAAATTGTACCAAGGGTAATATTGAACCACAACATAGACAAAACGGACATTTTTACACTTCTTTTCTCACAAAATTCTGACGAAGGTGAAGAAGACGGTGAAGCATAAAAAAGGACATCTTTTAACGCTGCAAAAGTTTAGAACGAAAGTGATACACTCACTCCTTCACCAGCCTGGCTATGATAGAACGACAAAGACAACAAGGGCTATTACAACCCACCCTCAGTCAATTCTAAGTTGCAAACTCACAAACTTTATTTCAGTCAATTTTCACGGCTAGGCAAGGCTGAAGTTCATGTAAACATTCCATGTCTAAGGGCCTGTTTACAAGGAGAGATAGTTACCCTAGCAAGCGGGTTACCCTAGCACTCAAACATTTCCTCTTTTTTTCTCCGTCGTGTTTACAAGGCAGCTAGGGTTACCCGGGTAGGCGGGTTACCCTATCTGCGTGCTAGGGTTACCCTGGCTGGCGGGTTAACTTTCTTTTGTTTCCAGACCCTTTGAGTGTAACCGCGCATTACGTTGTCCCGGGTTGTAGGGTTACCCTACCTGTGAAAGTTTGCTAGTAAACCCGGGCTATCTTTTGCCCTCAAGCTAGGGTTAACCCACTTGCTAGAGTAACCCTCCCTCTTTTTAAACAAGCCCTAAGAACTGTCCAGCAAGGTGGTTATTTAGTAACCCAGTCACTAACCAAGCAATGATTGGAAACTCGTTTAATGTGCCTACGCATATTGATCCTAAACGGCAGTTGGCTACCGAGTGAAAGACTAAAAAATGTTCCGCTAGGGATGAAATTGTATATTTTAAGCGAGATACGAAAACCCAACTCACTTTTCCTTTCTTGTCCTTGTTCTTTTTCTCTTTTTTATCATCAGATGTTTTCTTGTCCGAATTGTCTTCATCTTCTTTCTTCTTATCTTTATCTTTTTTCTTCTTATCTTCCGTTTTTTCCTTGGACTTTTTATCTGGAAATAAGAAAGGTAGAGTAAGTTTAGAAGATGTCTAACATTCATTCATTCTTACCGTATTTTCCCCGCCCCAGCATTTAATTCAAACTTTGCCTGATTGACCTGGCGTTTATTAGAGTCCCGCGGTTTTTTCGAGCCCGGTGTTTACTTAACAAAGGTTTTAATTCTTTATTTTTTTTACAGCCATATATCTTGCCATCATACTCCGAATAAAGTCTTGAGGGGCTTATTTACACCTCTACCCTTAAGTCCCGGCGTCAGTTAAATCAGGACCCGTCTTCCACCCGAGGAAATACAGTAATTTAATTTTATTTATTGTGCACGACCCCACAAGCTACTGAGCTTTAATTTTTATTGTGCTTAAATAAAGGTTTTCTGTCTGTCTGTCTGTCTGTCTGTCTGTCTGTCTGTCTGTCTGTCTGTCTGCCTATCTATCTGTCGGTATACTCCGGCCCATTCTTGTCCAAGAAAATTACACACAAAAGTCGACAAGAGACGAGTCAGTGATCCTGCTGAACAAAAGTCTGTAATGCATGAACAGATGATGTTATTTCTACCTTTCGTAGCATCCTTTGTTTGTTCCTCTTCTTTTTTCCTGTCCTCTTCCTCATTTTCCTCGTCCTCGTCATCATCATCTTCCTCTTCCTCTTCTTCGCTATCCTCTTCAGCTTCCTGCTTTTTCTTGGAAACAGCTTTTTTATCCTTGTCTTTAACTTCAGATTTCTTGTCAGATTTTTTTTGCTGCTCCTTCTGTTTGTTTGCCTTGTCTTCTTCTTCCTCGTCCTCGTCCTCTTCTTCACTTTCCTCTTCCTCAGAATCCTCCTCCTCCTCCTCCTCCTCCTCTTCTTCTTCGTCGTCGTTCGTCGTTTTCTTCACTTTTGTAACTTCAATTTTCTTTCCAACAACTTTAAGTGTCTCACTCTTCTCGGATTTTTTCCCCTCCTCTGGACTCTCTTCATCTTCGTCTTCCTCATCACTTTCTTCGTCGTCTTCGTCGTCTTCGCCGGATTCTTCGTCTTCATCTTCTTCTTTATCTTTCTTGCCCTCCTTTGATGTAACAGTTGAGACTGTTTCTACTTGCTTCGTTGCTGCTGCCGCTGCTGTTTTCTTTTTGTCAGAGGGCTCTTCCTCTACACTGTCACTTTCATCTTCAGTCATGGATTCCTCTGATTCTTCACCTACAGTTAATAAGAAACCAAAGAAATTACAAGAAACGTTCGCTTTAAAACGAAAACCATTTAGGTTTTTATTCTCGCATTACACTGCAGGATTGCAATTCAAGTTGAAAAAATCCATATTAAGACAGTTTTTAGTGTTTTATATATCAAGGATGAGCAAAATAAATAACTAAAGAGAGGCAGCAGAATCCAGTTCTTTTCGAGACCTAATAATTAGTAAATAGTAAGTTAAAGGCTCCGTCCACAATACGCCGGATAAATTTGAAAACGCAGCTTTATTTTTACGGTTAGGCCTACCGTCCGCACTAATCCGTCACGAAAACGGAGCTTTTCGAAAACACTCTTCAAACCGGAGGAATTTGAAAACGCCGGCTTTTTATTTTAGTATGGACAGAAAACATTTTGAAAACGGAGCTTTTCGAAAACGATGACATGTGGTTTCCCTGCCCAAGTTTTCCTCAACAAAGAATCCAAAATGTCCGGTTTTTGCTGCGTTTTCAAATTCCTCCGGCGTAGTGTGGACGGAAAACATTTGATGCGTTTTCAAAGTGAAACCTGCGTTTTCAAATTCCTCCGGCGTAGTGTGGACTAAGATGACTAAGACAACATTCCGCAAAAAATGTCTTTTCAGTCATTTACTAACGATCAACAACAACCCCTGCTATCTCGAATTATAATGTTTCTCTTGAGAGTTTGAAATAGCGGGGTTTGCCTGTCTTTACCAATTTAAAAAAAAAATTAAAATGTTGCCTAAAGGATATCCACTACAACCTGTTAAAATGAATTTGAGTGTCCATAGCCCACCTGTTTTTTTAGTATCTACTTTTTTCTCTTTCTCCTTTAAACTTGTTGTTTGGCTTGCTTTTTTCTTGTCTTCCTCCTCGTTTTCATCTTCGTCATCTTCACTTTCTGATATGCCAGAAGAACTTTCAGCATCTTTTGGTTTTTTAGCCGGTTTATTAGTGACCTGTGGGTCAGAGAAAACAGAATTTTGCACTCAATTAACAAAATTAATGGTGATTTTAAGGTGATTCCATCAAAAAAGAAGCAGTGTGAAAAAATTTCTTAAATGTTGTTCACTTAGTAATTATAGGGAGCTTAAGCAACGATGGCGGCGACGCCGAGGACGACGCCTAGTCAAAAATGAATCTATATTCTACAAGCGAAATTCGCAATTGTCTGGATCTGTTCAGCACGCCAATGGCTCCAGAAACGTGCTCAGGCTAAATATGTAACAACAGCGTTTAATTTCAACTGGAATACAAAAAGCTTAGCCCTCGTCCTTCGCGTTCCTTGGATTACGCAAAACTTGGCCACTTTATTTGTTGTTTTACAGAAACAAATGTACAAAGAAATGCACAAAGATTTATAACGCACGTGCACAGCTATTGTTCTGCTCGATAAGCCTTTTGTTTGGTGACGTCCTCGTTGCCGTTGCCATCGTGATTTGCTTAAACTCCCTTATCTTAGGTATATTACAAAATGTAGTCAATAGAAGATGGGTGTCACTATGCTCTTTTTTGCGCGGTATGGATGGCTGTTATATAGTAACTATTTGACTTTCCTTGGGACCCCACGTAATCTGAGAGGCTAACTAAAATTTCTGGAAAAAGAAATGTCTTACATCAAAGTAATTGGAGCCATTCAACAAAAGTCTTTGTTCTTACATTATAAACTACTTTTATGGTAAAGGAATGAGGGTTATGACACAAAAGGATATGCTGCATGTACACATACCCAGAATTTCCTATAACATGTGTTCTTTACATCATTCAAATAAAAATATCTCAAAGAAGAATTTTTGAATTTTTCTTCAAATTGAGATACACTGTAGTCAATCGTATATCATTTCAATTTATGCAGGGGTCACCATGCTTGTTTGGGAGAAAACAACTATTTATTTTACGTCATACAAGAGTGAAAAACTACGCACCTTTGTTTTTCTGCTTGCAGATAGCTTATTTTCTTTGTCCGAATCATTTTTTCTTTGGTCCTTTTCTGCTATTGATCAATAAACAGAAGAGCTTGGTAAGTCCAGGTATAGAATTCCTAATAAGGGAGCTATCTATTTAAACAAACGTCTTTCATCCATTTGTATTTGAACTGACTGTGTAACAAACATGTGCACTCTCCCCAATAGGCCATTTTATAGTTGTATGCTTGAAGTTACCTGGCCCATGAATGCAGGCGAGGCTGGAGGTGACCTTGCTTTGATGCAAACCTCTCTGCTTTTCTCATTTAAATGCAAACAAGTGAGCATTAGAACAACTTGATTTACACAACAAAAGCAGTGAGGTCTGTGTCAAAACAAGGTGACCTCCAGCCTCGCTACCATTCAAAGGCCAGGTCACTGAGCAGACAACTGTAAAATGGTCTATTAGTAGAATTCTAATCTGATCAGCTGAGCCTCTTGTAGAGCATCAGTCACACAGTGAAAATGGGTAGAGGTTGTCCACATGATGGCAACACTTTCTAGTCTCTCTAATGTTTCAAGGAAGATTTAGGAAAATTATTGGTTAATTAAATTCTCAAGAAACGTAAAGAAAAGACCCTGACTGTTATGTAACTTTCAAACCTAAAAATTTGTCAATGATCTAATAAGCATGTGTGCACAAATGCAAATTTCAAATAACTATTCAATCCACAATTCAAAAACCGGGGTCAAATTAAACCCCTTCTCCCCATGAAGGCCACTTCTCTAGATAAGCTACTTTCCTCTGTCCCCAAGGTGACTGTTGTGCCATATCATAAAACCATGTGCAACAGAACAGGGATCCATGAACTGTATACTTACCTTGCTCCTCTCGTGATATTTTAGGTAATGTCGACATGTCAAGGGGGTTGACAGGCATCTTTTCTTCTTTAGACACCTCTTTCTTCAGCACCGGGAGTGTCCGAGACAAGGGAGGTAGAGTGGACTTGCTGATAGGTGGCAGTGAACCTCCTCCTACTGAGTTACCCAAGCTCTAAATAACATTAAATGGGTCAGTAAATAGACCTTCATATTAAAATTACCCAGTTGACATGTTTTAACTCATATTTATTCCATGACTTGTGTTTGTAGCTGATATAACGCAAGTTCTGATTGGCTAATACTAGGGCATTATTCTCCGGTAATGCCCACAGGTCAATTACAGGCCTGCAAAAACCAGGCAAAAAGCCAAGGCATATAATAAACTACTTAATAACCTTGAATATTTGGGAAAATCTCAAACCTTGGCATTGTCATATTGACCAAGTGATAGCAAAGGTCAATATGGCAAGGTCTTGGTTTGAGATTTTCCTGTAAAGACCTCACTCTTGGTTAATGAGTAGTTAGTAAATGTTTGTTATTGAACTGGCATGAGGTCCATATTGGGGAAATATTGGTTAGACAAGTTCTTTTTTTGCAAGTTAATAGACCTCACCTGTAGCATGGTCCATAATCCCACAAAAAATAGAAAAAGCTAACTCAACGAAGTGTTCATGATAAAAAGTAACTCTTTTAAAGCTCTGCTGATAATCGACGCATCCCAATTATCCTTTCTTGTTAAATGCGTACACAATGATTGATTTTCAAGTCACCCTGTGTATCTGAGCAGTCCATCTTAGCAATTCGTACTGCAAACTTCAGACTGCTCAGGGAACCAATCAGAATTCTCCTTTTAACATTATTATAATAATAAGCAGCATTGAATCATGTTCTGTTCTTCTTTGACACGCTTCAATTTGATGAGGACCATAAACTGAACTGCATATCTGCACTGAAACCAAATCAGTGAATCCCCCAAGCTGAATTCTAGTTTTTTCAAGACCATTCATGCACTTTTAGATACTCATATCACATGCAAACAGTTAAAAGACTAGACTAAGTATCATTCCTGTTACCTTCCTTGTCACTATATGAACTTTTGTTACCTCTACGTTTCTTTGCCGACGCTTATTCCTTGCTGCACCTCCCACAGGAAAAGTGGAAGAAAGACCACCACTGTAACCTGACGGTCCATCCACGACGTCCTGGAGACTTTTAGTTGATGAAACTGAAGCTGCAAGAATGTCCTTCTCGGCCTCAGCTTCACTGTCTGTACCGTCACTGTTTTCAGTTGTTTTAACAGCAATAACAAGTGTATGACATCCTCCGCAGGCAACCTTTTGTACCATGAAGTTATCAAATCTAGTCACTTTTTCAAGCTTAAAAAGATTGGAGAATGACTCTTCTCCCATTCCAAGTTTTCCATGTCGACCATCTCCACAAGTGTAGAGATTTCCATGTTTTGTTATTACTGCCGTGTGAGATTCACCACAGGCTACATATTGAACACGAATGTTTCCTAGAGAAGACACCTGTTTTGGAGTTTGGCACTCTAACCATGAAGAGCCATGCCCAAGTTGCCCATGATCTCCCTGTCCGAATGTATATAATTTTCCATTCCTGGTGACTGCCACAGTATGATTTCCACCACATGCAACAGTGATAAATTGTTCATTTATACTAAAAAGTTTCTGAAGTTGTGATGTCTCACTGAGTTGAGAGTCATCCAATCCTAGCTTGCCACTTTCATTTTCTCCACATGTGTACAAAGAACCGTCATCTGCAGTTGTAAGAGATACATATATTCCAACCAAAATGAACTGTAGTTGAACACCTTTAGTTAGTAAACCTTGTATAAATATTATTGTAAAAAATCATTCACATGAAGGCACATAATACATGCAGGGAGCTATAAAGCTGAAATACCATAGCCAACAGACCAACCATTAGGTAAATACACAATCTGATAGAAACCTTGAGTGCACTATCTATTCAGCAACTAGATTTACGAGCTCGAGATTTCTGTTGCATGCTAGTTGAAGTCAGGGCGCAGCCCGACTGTGAGTCAACTATCAGGTATAGAAATTGAGAGCCAATAATCTAATTGTTTTAGTATAAATCTACTAGTCATTCAAATCTTTACCCAAATCCTCTTCACAGACACTTCGAAAATGCAAAGAAGCGGCCACCAATTTCTTAACAACCACTCACTACCAGGCTACTCAATATTTACAACAGAATAGATAGTGAGCAAGGTAACCAATCAGAGAACAGCATTCCTGGTAGAACGCTAATAGATTTATACTAATATTAAATGTACTCCCTGCACAAGTTATATGCTAACTTGGTTAGGACTGACCTGTAACTACAGCCATGTGGTAATAGCCACACCCCACAGCCACTACCTTTCCTCTTATCTGCACTTGTGTAGGTACATTATAGTCCTCATCACCTTGACCTGTCTGCCCTTCACTGCTGGAACCCCATGTATACAGCCTGCCATCAGCTACAGGCAGGAAAACACCTCAATTAAATAAGTATTGCACAGTAACTGGACCAAACCAATTAAGGAGAACTTAAGTAATTAATTTTAAAATCAAACAAGCCCACAGCGCAATGCCAATTTGAAATTTTACGACCACGAGTAATTAAATTTCATTAAAACCCCCCAAGACTCCACAACTCAGTGTACAGTAAAAGTTGAAGTATAAGTGGTTATTTGTACTCCTTAGTTGTCAGTTAAATAGATTTTTTCTTTATAATATTTGGACTTTCCACGTCATGTCACTTTTTAGTTGTTTTAGTTCAATTAAAATTCTCCCATGACAACCAACCCACGACCCACAACCACCAACCCAGGACCCAACCCACACACGCCGATTAGACAGTCTCAAACTCTGCATGTGAGTTTGTCAAAACTGCTTAATGCCTCTAGGGTCCAATTTAAGGGTAGATGATGTTATTGATTTTAACTTACAAATTTTCCATAGGATGACTTGCATTTCGTTCCTAAGCTATCATGCACATATTGGAATTTGTACATTATATTCACTGCTGGAATAAAATAATCCATTTACCAGTAACGGCTGCAGTGAAGTCTGATCCACAAGCAAGCATCTTGTACTGCTGATCATTTAACGACTCAATTGCTTTAGGTACTTGAGAATTCTATAAGTCAGAAAACAACAACAAATTCAGACGAGTTTTGTTTCAAAGAATTTTGCAATTTACAAGTTAGTATTAAGCTAAGTTTGACCTTTCAAAAATACTATTTAAATGGTAGATTTCATTTAGCTGATCAAATTGCAGTCTGCCAATTAATGTACCTTTCCTTACCAAACCACGCTGTGATAAATGCCACTCAGTGAGAGGACTGACAAGTTAAATGAAAAAAAAGAGAAGAATTATTGCATACCTCACAGTTGCCATGTCCCAGTTGTCCATCACTTCCACAACCAAAACTGTATAATTTTCCAGATTCTGAATGGGACAGAAATGATACGTGAAGTGTACAACTGTCCAGTAAAACACAAAAGATCCTGACAAATTAAGCAGCATGTCCCAGTTGAAAACAAACAAGAGGATTTCACATTCAGCATTGTGTCATAAAAACAACTGAAAACCTCACTGACCAGTTGACACAATTGTGTGATTCCTTCCAGCAGCAACCATGTTCACCTTTTCTGGTTTTAAGCCTGGAGTAAAACACCAAAACAAAAACATGACACTTTTCTTTTTGACTCCATAATGGGATATAGGTTCTCTTGGCTTCAGTGGTCCATACAATTAGACATTGGGACTTGTAATAAGCCCAGGGGAGACTGCAGGTCAGGTTCAATATTTTAACAAATAATTATTCTTTTTTATTTTCCTTATAGGCAATGTTGTGGAGGTATGGTGGCCAAATGGCTAGCACGCTGGAATCTGGATCGAGTGGTCCGGGTTCGAGACCCAGCCAAGGTCTCTGCATTGTATTCCTGGACAAGACACTTTACTCTCACAGTGCTTCTCCCCACCAAGGTGTGTAAATGAGTACTGGCAAATTTAATGCCGGGGTTAACCTTGCGATTGACCTGCATTCAATCCTGGTAAGGAGTAGAAATTCTCCTCGTAGTCACTTCAGAGACAAGGATAAGTTCCGGCTATCTGGGCCACTGCCCTGATGCTGACTATACCTTTTATAAGCATTGTGCAGAGCAATAAGAGTACTGAAAGTCATCACCATCTCCTAGTAGAAATTTCTGTAGTATGGACTCTAGTCCAAGAAAAACCATAACCCCATGTGGTCATTGACAACATGTGAGCATTTCTAGAAAATGAAATTTTTGCTCACGGTATATATTAGATTTTGGAATTCACCCTTCTCATTAGGACAGGCGGCAAAAGAATTTTCTTACGTTGTAACATGCAACACAACCTTTGAATATTTTTATCTGCATCGCTATAATTTACAGAATGATGTGGACAGGTATTTATCATGTGCTAATGCTGGAAAGGTAAATTTTACTATAAATGTTACTGTGCTATATGGCAATGTTTGAGAACATCTTTGATTACGCTCCTTTCCTCTTACAAAAGGAGAAAGATAGTTTTACTAAGGCACCCCTTGGAACTATAAAAATTAAAACAAAAAAACAGCTGTCAGAAGCAATTATATTTATACCCCATGCAAATTAAGTTCAGTTCTATACATGTTTCAAATAAAACAGAAGTTGAAACAGGAAAACATTTAATTTGATATGTGATTTGACAGGTGTTAGATTCTTTGTAATGGAGAGGAAACCCACAGCTTTGAACTCTTTTAAAGTTAAATACCAGTTAAGAACTAAGATACAGCACTAAAACAAAAAGAAAGGAACATGACACCAAAAATTGGAATGTATAAACTTGTATGTTTTGTTACAAGTTGCTGGGAAACCCTTATTAGTTGGTCATGGGATGAAACAGCGGAAATCAAGCAAACTGTTCAATAATTAAATAACAATTATTTTAAAACTCAATTAAGCTAAGTTCGCTTACTTTTGAGCAAGAACAACTGAATCTGAAAATTTAAATTAAAAAAAAAATGGTTTATACCGCAAACTTCATTTCCAATTTTTTCATAGAAGTGCGAATGTAGTTTCTCCTTCCTCTGCACTGATCAGTCAAATTTTTAACGCGAATTTTTAATCATATCAGATCAAGGTAATTAAGTTTACTGTACTGATTTTCGGTCGTGATGAATTGACTGTATACTTACGTTTGACAAGCTTTGGGTTCGGAAACTGCACAGTGCTTCCATGACCGAGCTGTCCCCAATCGTTACTTCCAAATGTGTACAACTTCCCGTTTTCTGTGAAAAATCATAAAGCGTACAGTAAGCTTCATGGTTACATGTTACTAGTGAGTTATGTGAAGAACGTTAGTGTTCTGATTGCAAGCTATTAAGCTTAGCGTAGAAATTCACTTTCTTCGAACAGCCAACTCCAGCAAGAATGCAAAAGTTATTAATGATAAGGCTACCTGTAACGACAGCGGAATGCTCGTCTCCGCAAGCGAGATGGATCACTGCATCATCGCGAATCCAAAATTTGTTGTCCAAGAAACGGCTTTTGCCAAACGTAAACACGGCTCCAGAATCTGCAACAAAGCGTGAGGGAATCGCACAACACTGTACACATTTCGAGACTCGCTTACATCATGACCAGTCTTACCTTCACAACTTGAGGACAATTTTGAAAGAAACACAAAAAAGTGAAATAAACAAACCTGGCACATCCTCGTCGTCCGACGCCATCTTGGTTTCTACGAAAGAAACCTGCTGACCAATCAGTGCGTTTCTTGCGTTACTCCCGCCAAAACACTCTTCGTCAAACGTCGGGGAATCTTCGTGACTTTTCGTGACATTTCTGCGGGTGGTAGTGGGCGGTAAGTATGGCTTTCGTTCGTGTATTTCGAGGGTGCTACCGACTTAATTCTTCACTTTCAAAAGTTGTGAAAGGAACAGAACCTTTCTTTGGTCGCTGTAAAGCAGTAGGAGCTCTTTCTTTTACGAAAAAGCGACACTGCAGTGAAAGGTAATGATTAATATAGAAATCAATAGAATCCTTATGATCATTTGTTCTTACAACCTGTTAGAACACCTCTTTACCTCAGTTATAAAATTCTCATCAATATTAAATCGGTGAGTTAACATCTTAAGATAAGGGTGTTACACAACACCTGTAGTAATGATCTGTTATTCTGACATATTTATTTCCTTTGTCTCTTGGCAATATAAATTTGACAAAAAAGTTGTATTTTAAAAGTTCTTGAGGAAAATTGAAAGTGAACCTTTGGTTGCCCTACAGCCTTTCAACCTTAAACGTTTGGTTAAAATAACTTCATGGTGGAAGGTTTTCATTAAAAAAATTTAGCTGTAAATTGACCATACTGCTCAAAATTCTCACTAATTTTTGACTCCCTTTTAAATTATGGTCTCTTAATAGCTATCCTAGGCCTATTTTGGGAACTGTACAAGTAATAAACGGCCAATAGATGGGGTTTTTGTAATGGGTAAGGTGTTTGTTATCAGCTGAAGGAGGTTTGAATGCTGAGTGAAACATGGGTGTCTCGGAAACTCCAGAAATAAATTAAAATGTATCAAGAGTGAGTTAATCAGTAATGTTCTTGAAAATGTCCATTACACCTTCCATAACAAACTGTTCTGCTCACTCTTATTGAGACTTTGTTTAAAACTTGTTGTTCCTCCGGTCCATAGCCGTGGATTTCCATCCGTTGTGGGGAGAGATCTGCTTAATCTGAAAGACTATACTGGTGATGAGATTAGATACCTGTTATGGACTGCTACTGATTTGAAGGAAAGAATTAAAAAATCAAAAGAGGTGGGCAAAGAAAAATTGTATTCTTTAATTTAAGGTAGATTTCTTGAGTTAAGGAGCTGGGGGAAGAAAATATAATCAAAACTAAAGCTGGATCATAATACAGGGGAGTGGGGATGGCGCAGTAGTGAGAGTGCTTGTCTCCCAGCAATGTGGCGTGGGTTAGAGTCTAGCCTGGTGCCATATGTGGGTTTAGTTTGTTGTCTGTTCTTGCCTTGCCCCAAGGGTTTTTCTTGGGGTTTTCTGCTTTTCCTCCCTCCACAAAAACCAACACTCCAAATTCCAATTTGACCAGGATAGAGGACCTGCATGAAAACCAGCCATGGCTGAGATGGCTTCCTCTCATAGAGCACGCATAGACCACACAATGTGTGGTCTATGTGTGTCATAGTCAAGCCTGTTACATTGACATCCTTTGGGTTCGTCATAATAACTTCTGTGTAGAAGGTGACACATAGTCTACCATAGAATTGTAAAAAAAGAGTCCTGTCCAGAACCTTCCTTATTCTCATTTCTTAGGGAATAGTTTACCTTCCATTGTTAAATCAGTGCTGTTTGCACATTGACATAAATGTGATATTCACCATTTCAAATAACTGTCAGAACTTATTTTAGGAGAAATGGTTTAATTATATTTTCAGACAATTCAACTTTTAGAAGGAAAGTCAGCTGCTCTTATTTTCCAGAAGCGTAGTACAAGAACGAGAGTGTCAACAGAAACCGGTAAATATCCAGCCGCCTGCTTTGTAGTTACTTAGCTCTTATTAACCGAGTAGGAGGTCTGTATGGGAGAATCTTGACCAAGGTCGTGAGTACAGACCGAGGTCAAGATTCTCCCATACAGACTGACTTAATAAGATGTTCATTATATGGCAAAGAAGAAAACTTTAATTTGTTTAATGTAACTAGTTTGCTGACATTTTGCTTTCAAACGGAGATGAGCTTAACTTAAACCTGCCAAAATTTGCTCGTCCTCTTTACTTTTTTTTTGTCAGCAGGCTTTTTGGCACTTCCATAAATGGTAGAGAAGAAAATAAAAGAAAACGGTGAACATTTTTGTATTTGAGTTTGTTACTTTTTCAACGCAAAATGAAACCGGTCTAGATGCCAGTCTAAATGGGAAAATCTAGACTGCGGTCATTATCGATTTCAGCCATTCAAATTCGTGAATTCGGTGGTTCCCAGTCCTTGTGAGACACAGCCATATAATAAATTGTGATATTACTGGGAAACATGACTCTTTTTAGGGTAATTGTGAAGAACAGCTCTCGCAAAAAGCATTTGGCAGTCTGTCGTCTTGTCTGCTAGTTACACACAGCATAGCTAATAGAGGGGACTGGTTATGAAGCTCGGCAAACATCAAAGGAGCAAACAAAGATGCCAAGATTTATGTTGGAAGGTCCACGACTGTGCACAATCTTTTGTTTTGCGGCCATACACTATGTGTAAATTACGTAACTAACACGTTTCTATTGGTTAGTTCCTCAGTACAGAGTAAACAATTATTGTGTTTTGTGCACGGTCAAGGCCAAAAAAGCGAACAGAAACGTACGATGAAGAACTTTGATGGGTTTCATAATCATTCCCCTCTATTAACTATGCACACAGTTACAAATTTGGTATAAAATTAAGTTTTTTGAAAATGTTTCACAACCAATATTTTCTGTGCCAACCATTGATTGGTAAGTTAGTGATGAGATGTATTGTTATTTGTTTACAGGTTTTTCAAACCATTTTGTTGGTCGGGTTTATTAATCTATTCTTGTCTGTTCTACAGCAAACTTTCTGTCTTAAGAAAACTGTTGGTAACCTGTCGGTAGCCTGTTGGTAGCTTGTTGGTAACCTGTCGGCCAACATTTGACCAACAGTCAGTTTCAGGGTTCTTATTCACAATTACCCTTTTTAATATATGTGAGAGAGCGATGAAAAAGAAGATGATGATGATGTTGATTTTGATTCTGATTCTGATGATGATGATAAATGTTCAGAACAGAACACTTTTCAACTGTTCACGAGTATCATGTGCTCATTCATTAATATTCAGGACTTGCTCTGCTTGGTGGACACTGTGTTTTCCTCACAGAACAAGACTTTCATCTCGGAGTCAATGAATCAACTAGAGACACAGCCAGGTATAATGTACATCCTTTTACTTTCTGTGATCTAATTTCTGTTGTCCCATTATTTCTCTCACAGTCTTTTGATTGAGGGTATTGATCGACACTTGACTGCAGATGCCTTTAGTACACATGATCCGAGTTTGATACAGAATCCATGCACTGAGCATTCAAGGCCAGTGTTATTCCTGCTACTTTTACTTGAAGATTTCCTCTGACTGTTATTAATTATCTCTTACGTATAGAGTCCTCTCAGGATTTTGTGATTTTATCGTGGCTCGGGTCAACAGACAGGAAGATCTGGAAGTGATGGCAGAAGCAGCCACTATACCAGTTATTAGGTACATGTAGGCTGATATAAAACCAAATTCTCCTTATAGTATCCCATACATTTCTTAGAGCTACAGTTGGAAGAGTTTTGATTAAAGATATGAAGACAACCTTTCTCGTCAATGATTACTGCCGGTTGTGCCATGTCCCATTTCAAGACATGTCACAGTCCTGTTAATCTTACGGTATTGATTTTTCTTGTTGAGATTCTCTCAGAAGGTAAAACTGAGGAGACTGGTGTTAATAAAGCTTCCTTCTGGCTTTGTCTACACTGTATCATAGTTGTAATCTGTTGAGAAGGTCTTTCTTTTCTAAATTTGTACTTAGCTTAATTTTCATCGCATTCTACACAAGTTTAGTGTCCTGTTCCTAACGCTTGAATCAATGATTTATGCGAGGACTTTGGGACTGCAGGTAATCATGCATCCTGGTTGAGTTTTGTAAAAGCAAATTTAAGTTGTCTCAGTGCATCAAGAGCTGGTCAGTTTTTGATTTTTATTAATACTAAGAGACCAGTAGAGAACAATGCAAACATGCATTCTGTGGGTAAAGAGTGAATTGTTCTTGTTCCTATACTAGCAGATGTTTAACTTTCATTTGTTTTTGATTGATGTCAATTTCTGTTGCACAGTGGCTTATCAGAAATGTACCACCCTGTGCAGATACTTGCAGACCTGCTGACTCTACAGGTGATGTAATTAATAAATTTCAGAACCCTTTATTAGATACTAGTTGATGAAGCTTAGAAGAACTGGCTGGTCTTGTACAGATACCTGGTTTATGTTACAACTTACATAGACGGAATTTAGAACTGTTTGCCTCAGAGGTTTTGAAAGGGTCAATTGTAATCAATTTTTATATGTGTAGGAGCACTTTGGTAGTCTCTATGGCCACACTATTAGCTGGGTTGGAGATGGCAACAATATCATTCATTCACTGATGATGGCAGCTCCCAAGTTTGGGATGCACTTGAATATTGCAACTCCAAAGGTCAGCTACTAATTTTTCTTCATTAATGGAATACAGGACTAAATAGAAAAGTTAATGAAAAATTATCTCAGCAGGAAGGCAACTAGTTTTCACAAGCAGAGATAACTTTTTGCACTGAACTTTTTTGTAAGAAGAGCTTTCCACTAGATGGTCAAACCAGGAAGATAAGAATCATCCACACAGCTGATCAATTTGCTCAGTGCCTGGCCTTATTGAAACTCCTGACTTACATGAATTTGATTCCAAAAGTACATAAATTAAATTTTATTTACAGCAGCGAGTAGTTGCTTGTGGGAAAGAAGTCAGTGTGAAGTCAGTATTTTGATCATGACAAATTTATTTTGAACATTATGATGTGATGTGCACTACGCACTACCAAATGATTATAGAAAAAAACATTGATATTACAAAGTGATGATGTGGATCAACGTAAGGCCACATTTGCTTGAGTTAGTCTTTTTTGTTCTTCTCCATTAGGGCTATGAACCAGACAGTGAAATAACAAAGGTTTCCCAAGAATTTGCTCAAGAGGTTGGTTACATATTAAATTATCTACTTGCTACTACGCAAGATCATGGTGGAGGTGCAGTGGCCTAATGATCAGTGTGCTTGCCTACAAATGGAGCAGTCTGGGTTTGAGCCCAGCTGGTCATGGACTGTGTTTTTTTTTTTTGGGCAAGACACTTTACTCTCACATTGCCTCTCTCCTCCAAAGTGTAGTAATGGGGGATAACCCTGTGATGGACTGGCATCCCATCCAGGGGGAATAGAAATACTCCTTGTCACTTCATGCTACTGAAACTGGAGATAAGCACTGGCATGTCATGAGCCACTCAATGGCTTGGATGCAGACTTGTGGCAGGAAACTAAACACCCTACTGTAAGGTTGCATTGATTTTTCTTCTTATAAACATTGTGCATTCTTCAAAATGTTTTAGAGTTCATTTTTAATTGGCCCATAGTATGTTCTTATGACATTTGTTACAATTGATTTACAAACTCAAAATTTGCTACTGTATCAAGTTTGTGAAGCAAGATGATGTTTTGAGCATAATGGCCCTTTGTCAGAGGAAAATGAAGTGAAATATGAAGGACTAACTCTTGAAATGTCAGCTTCACAAGCTTGGTTAATTTTCCTTTTATTACCTTTATCCCTATCAACTTTATGTTGATAAATAGCTACATGTAGTTCTTTCACTTTCCCACTAACGCAGCCTTTATACCTTTGTTACTACATGTAGCTTATTTAACAAGCCAGATATGTATAATTTTTTTGACATTGTAAATTTTCAATGATTATTTGTTTTGTAGAATGGTACATCCCTGAACCTGACAAATGACCCAAGAGAAGCATGCTCTAATGCAGATGTGATTGTGACTGATACATGGGTCAGCATGGGACAAGAAGCAGAGAAAGCTGGTAGACTCAAATCTTTTGCGGGTTACCAGGTTGATACTAAGGTGTGTAATTCAATTAAGTGACAGGCTCACAGATCTCATTCAGGAAGGTGTTAATTACCTTATTCAAATTTAGGGATGATGGGCGGTAAAATATGGGACTCGCTGAGACATGCAAGACCCTTGTTTGAACATTCAAGACTGACTTATGATTGTAGACTCCAAGAAAGAAAGAACCACACAAACACAAGACTTTTGGACTCATCACACAGGATTTCTATATTGGACCAGAAGCATCTAAAATCCAGAGTTTCTTAGGTACCGTTCCCCACCTCTGAATTGGAAAATTAATATTTTTCCCTGGATGCATTGCAGACCTGTGACACTGGGAAATTTAAAAAAAAAAAAGAAAAAAAATTGAAAAAAAATGTGAAAAAAATGGAAAAAAAAATATTCATTTGGGAATCTGTCATCTGTCCGCATGCACTGTGGACTTGTGGTCAGATCTTGGCAACATTTTGGGAAATGGGCTTGGTTTTGAAGTCCAGAGAAAGAAAATAATGGTTTGGAAAGAGTTTTATGTACACAAGAATGTGTTTGTAGAGACTTAGCTGTGACCACCTATTTACAGTAATATGATATAATATAATTTACCAGTAATCTAATGGTAGTTAATCTGTTTGGTAGATGATGTCCCTGGCCAAGGAAGAAGCTGTTTTTCTACACTGCCTGCCTAGAAAACCTGAAGAGGTGACTGATGATGTATTCCTTTCTGACAAATCCTTGGTTTGGCAGGAGGCAGAGAACAGAAAGTGGACAATGATGGTGAGTTCTGTTGTTCATCCTGTAAGGCCTGCTGTGTATATAATTATCCTTTCATCCTGCAGCTTTACTTGTAGCTTTAAGAAAGATGACTATGATATGATAAAACAAGGGAGGGTCTTTGCATAGTTTTGCGTACATGTAGACTATATGGTGACATATGAACTCCAGTCTGCTTATCTTGACTACAGACTGAGATAAATTCAGGCCCTGCCCACACTACACTGGACGAATTTGAACACGCAGCTTAACAAAGGCACAGTAGGCTAGTAGTCACTCTCTACAACAGAATCGATACAGTCAAACCTTTCAACAACAGTCACCTGAAGACAACAAAAAGTAGCCGTAGTAGAGAGGTGGCTGTTATGGGGAGGCAGGGGTGGCAGGGATGTGATATGAATAAAATGATGCCTGATCCTTTTCAGGGGGGTACAAAATGTTCTATTTGTAAAAACATTGAAAAGGAAACCCACATGTTCAACATCTCAACTCGAAAGCCCACAGTGACTACGCACACTGGTAGGTGTAGGTTGCACTCGTTTACATTTACTGGTATTATAAAAATAATTTACAATGAATAAATATTAGTGCTACAGTTCTCTCTCTCTCTCTCTCTCTTGCTATAGGCAGTGATGGTATGTCTGATGGATGACTATTATCCTATTTCTCCAATACCACAGTTTTAGTCAAACTATCTTTACTTTAGGGAAATTTTAGAATTATAGGACAGTATGCTGTGTACAGCTACTCGTTTACTTGAGGAGAGCTGACAAATGTACACAGGGTATTGTAATTATAGGTTGGTGTTTATTATCATTTTGATGTCTGCATGGATCACGTGGGTTATGGTAGCCTGAATTGTTCAGTTAACTGATTGTTTTAAATTATCAAGACTTCAGTAGGAATTAATTGTTACATAATTTTTTGTCATCATTGGACATCAAAATAATGCCCAGTTGAGACTGATATCAAAATTTCCCGATACCCTTGACTGTTTACCTAAGCAGTAAAATTATGGCTGTTTACTATGATTATCAGTTGAGTAAAGCGCGACTAAAGGTTGGTGACCAGGTTTTAATGTTCAACTTGAGTTGTTTTAACAGGCAACTGACTCCGTTTCCAGTGGCAACTTGTCGGCATTTGATGTCATTGCCAGCAAGGCACATAAAATTGCGGCGACAGTGTTGTTACCACTGGAAACAAGGAAAGTTGCCCGTGGCAACACCGTAATTTTAAGTCCAACACTTCGTCAACAAAGCACTGTGGCACCTTAATCAACTGATAATCGTAGTAAAACAACTGCCTCTGTCAATAAGACTGAGCACTGAACACCAAAAACATTAAGTAGAGACTGATTTTAGTAATATATATATTTGTATATGTTGTAACGTGCATTCAGTAAAGGACAACATTTTACTGGACCACTGTTCTGTCTTAGATTGTGTCATTCCAGGGAATATTCCCCCCCCCCCCGCCCCACCCTGCAAGGGAAGGATTTTTATTTATAATAACCCTCAGCCTGATGGAAATTTAACTTCAGTTACATACTTTAATAGGCATTTGAAACCTCCCACCAACTGGGAATTTCTAAATTTCCTTCCACCAGGTGGGATTTGTTATTTCCTGATTATTGGCAAACATAGCCTGTGAAATGAATACAATTTGGAAATTTGCAACTAGCCAATCAGACAACATGTCTTCTGTCCTAACTATCAGGGTTGCCACAGGTCAGGAAATAATCAGGGAAAAAAATTATTCGAGGTCAGGGGAATGTTGTGGAATTGTATTTTGAGTCACAGAAAAATTGACATTTAAAGAGGAGTCAGGGAAAATTGAAATTAAAACACCATTCTGATTGCTTTAATGCCATTAAAGAGTAGGATCAAAAAGAAATAAAAGAAGACAAAAATGGTCACAGAAATTTACTTTCCAGAACAAAAACCAAAAACCAACAATGGATGCTTACCCTATAGTGTTATTTATTCGCCCGATCCCAGTTGCTTTCTTTAACCCTTCATTTACACCAACTCAGAAATAAATTTGTGAAAGAATGTGGTCGCTTTGTTATGAGATAAAGAACATTAAAATTGCCATATCCAAAATGTTGGGTGTTAGACTTTAATTACAAAATGGAAACTGAAAATCTTAGCCTAATGACTGGTTTTAGTTACAATAATGTACAAAATGTATACACAACACGATGAAATCAGAATGGTCAAGGTTTTGTTTAACAGTATGTTTTGAAATAGTAATTACAACAGAATACTTAATCATAATATTTTCATCATGAATAATAGGAGTAATCATAGTAATCACGATGATTGTCAATTTTATTCACAGTAGACAACAAAGAATCCCTAAGTTTCTACTTTAATTGATTTTAAGGCCTCATCCCATTCACAGACCTCTTGTAACAAGATTATTCAAGGCCTTTGGACAAAATTAAACAGCCTTGGTGTAAAAAGCTAAATATTGTTGTATCATATACATGTATTCCCATTATCACAACAATCACAGTTTAGTTAGGTTATAGTTAAAATGGTGTCTGGGGAGAATTGTATCCCATGGAGAAGATCCAGTTTTATTATTACACGACAAAATCCTTGTTCCAAAACAGAGCTAAAGCCTGGATCACCAATTTCATTTTAAACCACATTGACAGTGAAAATTTAAAACATACTACCTTATCACAGGAAATTTTTGCACCCTCAATTGTTTTTTAACTTAATGTTGATTTTGATACGAAAGTTGCCACCAAAAATGTTAGTATAAAATTAAATGTCAACGGAATTATGAAGGTAAAATCAAGTAAATAATTCCTATCTTAACACTGAGCTCATGTTCTTCAGACTACATTCCCTAGGCTGTACAACTTCTAATTTAACTTCCAAGTGACTAAAAAAATAAAACAATACATTTAAAATTATGACAATTGCTCTCCGTGTTTGGCATTGTTCATAATATTAGTACAAAATGAAAATAGGATAACTTAAATAAATTATGCAAAGCAGAAAAAGTTGTCCTAACAAAATATTTCCTCTTCAAGATGTTGCAAAAATTTTCTGTAGTAAGGTAGCCAGAAAGGAATTTTTACCATTCTGTGTGACTAGCTGTCTACTGTTAATGTCACGCTGAATAGAACTTGTTTCAACTAATATACAAGTCTAGTAATGTGATAATATTATAACTGTTTGTACAGTAACCAGGAAAACCCCAGAACTAGTAATCAGTATTAATATTTATTTAATTTTGTAATTATAACACACATTATCAGGCATCCAGTGAAATTGCCCCCAGTGGAATTTCATGATTATTTAGAATTCTCTCAACTGTTATAAGAAATGTATGGAAATAAGTAAGAGGAATTTGTGGTTGAGAATAAGGCTTCCCTTAGAGGTACACGTAAAGCAATCAAATTCTAAAAAAATATGATACTAAAAATACCAGCTCACCAAGTTTATCATAGGTAACTACAACAATATCATGACAGTCTTAAAATTAAAAAAAATAATTAAGTTAACAAACATTTTGCATTTAAACCAGGAAATATTTACAAAAGAAGACCAGAATAAAGGAAAAACCCGAGTCTACTGTTTTCTAGCCTTACAAAAAGAAAATGTAATGTGTAATTCCAGAAAATATCCATGCCACACCACAGGTGGCATCGTGGAATTCCAAGGGAGAGGGGGTTTCTTGAACTGAAATTCTGAAGGCATGGGGGGTAATGCAGTTTGGAATTCCGAACACANCCCCCCCCCCCCCCCAAAAAAAAAACCCTCTGGAAATCCCAAGTAAGCTTGACACATTTCTTTAAAATTTCTGGCCTTACCCCCTCACCTCCCAGGAAATTCTAATCCCTTCTGTGGGGAAGAATGGAGATTTTCTGAACTACACAATCTGTAAATTCTATAAATAACTATTTTCACTTATTTTTATGACTAATGAAAATTAACAATGAAAATTGAACTTGAGAACACAAGCACATTCCCAATCTATGACTACTCCTAAAATAAGGTGGCTGTCAATTCTCAACAACTAGCTATACCGGAATTGCCAAAAGTAGTTGGCCACTGGTGAGAAGCTCTGTTTACTTCATTATCCCAGCCAGCTACTAATTCCATGCCGGCTAATTCCAATCAAAAAGCTTCCTTCCTAAAAACTCTGATACAACCCTGTACATTCAGTCACAGGGGAAGCTTACAAATTTGGCAAAATTAATTACAAGCCCATTCAGAAATAAGTAAAGACTTATGGTTTGAAAGCCTCAGTGTTGACCTGTTACCATTAGATGTAAATAAAATAAGTATGACAAGAGAAAGCTACTACATATTTGTACATTGGATATGAAAAACAGACCCATTTGGTGATAAATGTGTGAATGTGTGACCCACTAATGCAGACTAATATTCCACAGCCACTTTGAATTAAAACCCCTGGATGATACTTCTATAGTTGACACAATACTGTAAGTACAGGTTTTTGTTTTAACATTTCAGTGATGATAAAATGCAATGGAAACTGAAAAACACGATACAATGCAGTAATAATTATTAACTACTAGGCTGGAGTCAAAATTGAATTTTGATAATCAGCCACTATATTTGCATGCTATCTTTCACTTTGATTCACTTTGAGACCCCAAGATCCATCTCGGCACTTGAGATGGGTAACACATTCCTCCATCCAATTGAGTGTTCGATGAGCAGTAAAGTTAATGATTTAGTTTTAGTTTTCACTGAGTTTATTAGACAATGGCTTTATTACTCTACCTATTATACACAGTGTTTTTGAGATTTTGAGCAACTGCCACCTGTCTATGTTTTGTTTGCCACCTCTACAAGTGGTTCACACTACTGTTTCTGTTTCTAAGTGCCCTGTTTCGCTGATTAACTAGCATGCACTTTCTTAGACACTACTCAATTTAACAATTCCCTTCTCACTGTCAGCCTGAAGACTGTCTTGGTCTTGGGCTCTTGGCAGTAAGTTGTCTTCTTCTGCTCTCTTGGCATCATGCTTAACACCATTTGTTGAGCTTAACTGTGTTGGAGACTGCAAAAATACAAAGAGGCCAAGAAAGCACATAGTTTACCATCATACCCACAAAGCAGATACACCTTGTACACTGTACAGCAGGAACGAAAAACGAAAATTCCTAAAATACATTGAAAAAATGTTGTTTGGGTCCCATTTCAATTTTTTGTCACCTCTGAAAAGATTAAAAGCGTTCTTGGTTTTCTCAATCCCCAGTGAAATATCTTTGGCATTAGGTGCACTTAACGCCTTATAACATCAAAGGTGTTTATCTCCAAGAGTTCAGATGTAAAGCGTCATGACGCCTTTTGAAACTAAGGTAAGCCAGTTTTTGGTTCCTTCGTTAAAAAAAAAAAAAAAAAAGACAGCTGTTTGAGAAAATGTGAAATCATATTGGTAAACTTGCTATGACCTAGTGAACAATAGGAGTTCTCATAGTCCAGAGTGCTATTTCCTTACACTTAGGAATACTCACCATAGGTGCTGCTGTTGTTGTCCTTACTGCTCCATACTTGTCTGATTCTGGAGGTTCAGGTATAATGACTCCTCTTCTGTTTATTAAACTAACAAATCAAACCAACAGTGAGAATACATGCATGGCAATTACAGACGAACTCTGCATTGATGGATATGGCAGAGAGATATTTAAATACAACATACATACAACTTTATTTGACTATGGAGGTTTACAGACATTGGCAAGACCCAAGTCCTGATGTGGACCTGCCTAACTACAACTACTTTAGTAATATTAGATACCTAAGAATAGAGAGTCTATATGTTAAGATTTCTAGATCACTGTAAGTGCCTTACGTTGACCCAAAAGCTGTAACCTGATACAAACATAAAACAATACATTTTCAGTTTACACAAAACAGACAGGTGTTGGTGTATGTTGGTTACAAAAAAATAAATAATCATTCACATCAACAGCTTGAATTCCAATGTAAAAGATCAAAAATATAAACAAAAAATACAACAAAATACTGATGTTCAGTTGTACCTAGGATGAAATGGCCCACAAAGAACTTCAGCACAGTTTTTCCAAAGTGATCCTTGGCTATAGGGATTTGTATTTCCTTGACCACTCCGTGAGGAAAATGATCCTTTAATCTATGAAACCAAAGACTACATGTAAGTCTATGCCAAGAGGTCCATTCTGCCCTAGCTTCTCCTGGTTTCTGTGGCATTAAGTGGCTGCCAATGACAATTTGACATATAAATGTTGTATGGGTATGCTCAGCCTCGCCTTTCATGTGTAAGTACATGCAATGAACAACGAAAACAGTAGTCTGAGTTGTGGTGGTCACAGCATTGTCATTATTACAGTGGACAAGGTTGACCTCCTTCAAGCATGCAAAGAGCTGCACCTTATGACTTTACTGTAACATAATTAACACAGACACCCAGTTCCCAACAGGTAGCATTACAGGTTCACCTATACTTACATCTTCATTTGTAGTTTGGTTAGATGCAACTAAATATGAGTGAAAACCGGTCAATCCAACTATTGACCAAATAGAAAAAAAGCAAATAATGGCCTCTAAGATAGTAGGAAGAGTTAAGGATAATTCAATTTAACGCAGATAATATTAAACAATGCGATAAATATCAGGCTCTTCATCTTTAATTAACACTAAAACTTAATACACCACAACATAGTCCATGACAAGATTTTCAAGATTTTTTGCTTAGTGACATATAAAGTACTTCAAAGGATATCTAGCAGGTGACTGTTTCATAGCAGAAATAAATGATTCCTCTTCACCTTGAGATACTATGTCAAGAAAAGCAAATAATCAATACCTACAATGGGCGACATAAGTAGTTGAGACACTTTAAGAAAATGAATCTTTTCAAAATTTAACCTCTTATTCTAATTCATTTGCATCTAGCATTAATTCTCTGATACCTCCAGCCCCCCAATTCAATGTTGTGTAAGTGCTGTGGCCTCCCCCCTCCCAAAAACATTGTTCGGGGGTGGGGGGGGGAAGGAGGAAAAGGGGAAACGTTAACAAGACGTTCAAAAATTGCATTTTTCTGTGAAGTGTCCCAACACTTTTGATGGTCATTGTAGTTAACCTCACGCACAGGGAAGTGCTCTGTGTTGCTTCAGAGATGATTTGCCTTTGTAGTTGATTGATTGGTTCTTCACCTTTGCCCCAACCATCCCCCACCACCATCCAAAGTAACTCGTCTGTCTTGTTCTCTAATAAAATATCACTGGGACTAGTGCTACATGTAGGTTATGGGTTGACGGGGGTGGGGAGTGGTACTTAAATGTTTTACAGATGTAATGCTGTCATTGCCAGTTCATTATTAGAATACTGTATTTCTCATATTCACTTGTTCTCCATGTTGCTCACCATTTATTATTGTGATAGAGTATAAGTACATCTACAGAACCTTAACATATTTTACATTAACTTATAGTCCAAGATGTACTGCTCAGAGCATTGCATAACAAGAATGTATTTTACTGAATTAAAAACTACACAAAGTTGTAACCACTTACACATTACAAGATGTGTTACAACAAAAGCAAAGAGATAACAGCAGTAGATTGACAATGAAACTAGAAACATGAAGAAAAACTTGTAGTTCCTCTTTCCTACACAGTTACCAACCTAGAACAAAACAAAACAAAACAGTTCTTACTTTCACTATCAATACCTACATGTAAAGAACACTATAAAAGTACATAGATCTATTGTTATTATGTAAACAATGCACAAAGTGACAAAGAACTAGCTGAAGATTGTTCTTGAGTAAGTGCTGAAAACCAACTGGTTCAATTACTTACCCAGGGACAGTGATGATCAAACCGTTCTGAAAACAAGGAAACATAACATCACTACAGGTAATGGAGTGAATATAATTATATCCAAGAAGAAAAAACACATGATACAAGAAGTACAGTGGAACCATGCTATTTTGAACTTTCAGGGAAAAAACAAAAAATAGTTTGAAATAGCAGGAGTTCAAAAAAGCTGATAGTAAATGACTGAAGAGCAAATCCATGGGAAATGGTTTTGAATTTGAAATAACAGGGAATTTGAAATAACCCACTTCAAATAGAGGGGTCCAATTGTAAATGACCAATAAAAGAGAGGCAATCTTGAGAAGACTTTTCACGTTCTACCCCTCGCTCTACTATTTAAAATGCTTCATGTCCCCTCATTTCTCATAAATGAAACCTGCTGTAGTCAAATTCAGTGATCACATGCATACATGGTCTGAACGGGGATCAAGGCAGGGAGACTAATGTTTACAATCATGAAGCCTGGTCTTGAACATTGAGTAGAAAATACAATGCAGTCTCAAGAACATGGTTTGATTGAGTTACAAAATGGTCAGGAGCTTTTACTTCTGGCTAAGAAAGGGCATTTTCATAATGGCAATTTTGGTGCCCCAAACATGAGAAGATTTTTACAAAATAAAGAACTCATTTCCAAAGAGAAGGAAATTTATGGCTTGGTGATAAAGGAAACCAATATGGCCAGGGTGATGTGACAGAAGTCCATTATTGTGTACGTTTCTTCTCACCTACACAGTTGTCACACATACTGCAATGCGATGCTCTGGGTGGTCTAAATATTTTGCAAGTAAAACAAAATTTAAGTTTGACAGCTTGTCCATTTATTGTTATCTCCTTCACTCTAGGAGGTGGTCTGTAAGTTTGTGGATCTTGATTAGGAGATTCTGAAAGAGGAAAGGAAAACCACAATCAATAGTACAAATTGAGAAAACACAAAGTTTGTTCTGTACAATATGACATGCTTTACTGTGCTCTTTACCAAACTAAGTTGAATATTTGGGTTCAGGCATGTCATAATTTCTGATATCAGAGTGCAAAAAAATCAGATTTTTCTCATGAGATTGTCATGAGAATAAAACCCAAACCAGACAACTTGCCTGTGGTACTATCAGACTAGCACCATAGGCAGACACTTCATGTGAGAGGCTATTTTACAATTCAGTTTCTCACCTAAGGTTTTTTCAATATATGCGGCCTCTTCAGCAGACGCCCTTGGTACAATTCCAGGATCGCTGAATGCCGTTCGAAGTAATGTTGACATAACAAAAATAAATAACCAGGCTGCAATAAATGGGACAGCTGGTGAAACGTTATCAAACAAGAATGGACAACTGAAAAAGAAAAGAAAAAGCAACATAATAGTTTGTATCCAGTTTACATAAAAAACTATTCATGTTACATGTACATTTGTATATGTTGTGCAGTTCTCTCCATCACTTTATGTACTCTGAGACCACTCTTTATGACAAAGAGGTGTTCAGAAAGACTTACAAGTTTGAAACTACAGAAACTAGTAACAGGCTAGGGAGAAAATGCTCAGGCAATAAGCCATGTTCGATATATCAATATTCTAACATGGCTCCAAGGTTTTCAGGACAAACTTCTATATTTAGTGTTGTCTTCTTTGTATCCATTCCAAGTCTCTTTTGAGAATTGAGAGACAAAGGGAACCTAAGAGATTTACAATTTTGACCTGAAAGCGTCGGAGTGATGTTAAAATATTGATATCAAATGTGGCCTATTTAAAAGTCTCTAAAATTCTGAAACAGTACAAACAAGCCATCAGAGACCACACTTTTTTTCCTGCAGTGCAAATTCCAAAAACACATGTCAAGCCGTTATCTGGATTGAAATCTGTGTGTATTTACCTTTCGTCTTTATTTCTGCATACTATCATTCAGTATTTTTCAAGATAGTTTGTTTTCAGTATTAATTTATCATCTTTGAAATAAATCAAGAGTCACTGCAATTAGATTTTATGGTTATCTACAGCTACAAAAATAAAAAACACAACATAAACTTATTAAATATTTATTCTTAAAAAATTATTGCTATTTCTGACACACAATCAAAAAATACAACTGTAACATATTAACTGCTTAAAATAAAAATTATTAAAAATGGACTTTATATGCAGTGTATGTACATTTGCTTGGGCAGAAACAAAAATATTAAATTAGTTTCTTGTGGCTTCATTTGGGCCAAACCAAATGTACAATATTAAAGTGTATTTTTATGTTTCTAAATAATTTATTGTTTACTCCAAAACTTTCGTGATAATTATTCTTATTCACACTAAATATAAAGAATAGCTGGTTTTCACATGACGTCACTAAAATTCAAACTACAAAACTATCGATCTTCCTGAGATTTTACTTTAATGATGTATAAGAGCAGCTGAAAACTAATATTCATACAAATTTTCACTCCGAATGGGTTCTTGGTTTTGTGATACACTACGCTTAAACTTCTAAGCTTTTGCCTGACGCGGCATTTACATGACAGCCAAGAAAGCTGTCATGATGGTTAAAAAAGGGACTTATCCCAGGGAACTTGGCTATCTGAACAGTTCATGTCTTAGAAAAAGAATTATTTTAATGTTTTAGAGTTTCTCGAGGGATAAATTCACGCTTTCATAGCAAAACTCAGTGACAGATGTTTCTGTTGGTTTCTGGCCACCATGTTGGTGCCCATGAGGATGGGCACCAGCATGGTGTCTCCATACAAATCTCTATAAATTTGGGTAAAAAATTTCTCCACATATCTCGCATAAGAAAAATTGCTGTGCCCAGAATTTTGGCAAGAGTCTTTGCATATTTACCTTCTTTCATTTCCCAGATTCTGGACTTTATCTATTGACCGGTTTTGTTTTTTATTTTGATCTATTTTGAATTGCGTGACACTGAAAACCAGCAATCAACCAAAGTACGAATAAGTTTATGCTTAGCTAAACTGTTTAGTGTGGCAATAGGACTTTCTTACTATTGAAGACAATGAAGATGGGTGTTTTGCAAAATGCCTGAAATAAACATATTTCTCCACATTTTAGCTTCTATGATTTATTTTTTAACCTTTGACTTTTTCTTAAATGTTCCTTTTGGGTTCCATGGGGTAGTTCCGTGGAATACCAAAGGAAACTTAAGAGTGGAATTGAACAAATTCCACAGTCTGCAAGAGTCAAGCTGGTATAGGGAAAAAAACTCTCAAATCTCATTTTGCAAAATGTGGAAACAAAAAAGGCACTAAATCAGAATACAACTCATTCAAATGGGTCACACACCAGTGCTTCATCCAAAGACTAAATCTTTGGGCAACCTTGTTTGATTGCTCTATTATGCCTACCCCAAGTACCCATGACAATGTCTACATCATTCTTGGAATCCTGCACCAGCATAGCCTATGCCCAGTGCAAGTTAATTAAATTTACCACACAAATTTTGTATGAAACATATCCTTTGTTTTAAATACATGCATATACAGGTACCGGTATCAAGGAGGCTTAATACCAAAATGACCAATGACAAAGATATGGAATGCTGTCTGACTTTTTATGTTGACAATTTTGTGAATAATACTCAACTGTATCATTACCTCTATAAAATTCCATATAAAGGTACACGTCTGATAAAGCATACAAATTTGTTTGTCCATATGAGTCTGGTGATTGTATTTGCCTTTCCAGACATTAACCAATAAATGAATCCATAAACTAAACAAGGGCACCTGTCCACTGAAGTTTGGCAATGTATCTGTTTATGCTGTTCATATCAAAATACAGTAAATATGATCCTTTATTATCCAACTGCAGTGAATACTGTCCAGATAACAGTACAAATATACAGCAATATTGTATAGTTATTTGTACAGTAGAAAACTTATTTGCTGTACAGGTCAGTGTGCATGCGCAAAACTGTCACACTCTCCTTCTTTCATTGATAAATTTACTGACCACAGCAGTTGGATAATAAATCTCTTATTAGATGTTTTGGTGTATAGTATCGCTTTATATTTTTACTTGTTGTTTGTATTTTGACGCGCCCTACAGCACAGCTCGTAAAAATATACAGCGATACTACACACCAAAACATCTAACAAGATATATGTGGCTCTCTTTTTATCAATTTATCCACTTGGGAGAACATTATAAAAAGATATGTTTCTGTACATATGTTGTATGCCATCAACATGTAGATGAAAGTCATAAATGTACAAAAGATATTTGTTTACAGACGTAGACGTTTACGCATGGACGTGGCCTAAGCAGACTCAACCATGTTATTACAAAGCAATATTTCCCTATTTGATCAACGTAATGAAAACCCATTTTGTCAAATAACCTAACAATGTTAGTTTTGCACAAAAAGCTCATTGTGCTTTGCCTGGCAGAATTTTTCCTAGGCTACTTCAGATACCAGTTTATATCTAAGTATTTGTAATAGCATTGCATTGGCCAGGAAGAAAAACTCTTATTTTGATATCTGTACATCAATTTAGCTAAGCAATAGTACAATTTCTTATTGCACAATTATGCTCAGAACTGGAGCGAAATAAATGTTTGCCTAAAGAATTCACACTTATCCAGTTGCACAAAGAAAATAAATTGGCACTGAGTTACCAAAAATATGAGTTAAATATATAGGAAAAAAAACGCAAAAAGCAAAAAATGAAGTGCGGCAATTTCAATTATCAAAAAGCGACGCGGAATTATTAGGTTTACAAACAAAACGCCAAACAACAAGCTCAACAACAACTTGGATATCTTAGGAAATCTTCTGCAACTCGTCGCTTAGGAAAAAGTAAGTTTATACATGTACGCTTACTTTTTAATACACAGGTGTCGAAAAATAAGAATTCGAGAGACGGTGACCGATTTTGGTAAGTAAGTGAGTGACTAAGTGATAGAACTTACTGCATAAAGATTAAGCTATGGAATGGTTAATTTCCGCAACTTCTCTCCACAAATAAAACATGACCTCATGATTGGTGTAAAAAAAACTTCATACTTACTCAAATGCAAAGAAAAGTCCGCTAGTAACTACAATGAGCACAACCGTAAAGTAAAAGACGCCGTTATTCCTCGCCATAATAATCCTTCCATCACAATAAAATTTGTTTCTCCCAGGAAAAACCTCCCAATTCCGATTTGACATGATGGGTGTGTATTGCTTTACAGTCATGGAGGTTTTCTCTGTTCACAGCGGTCAAGGACGAATGCAGGTTTCCCTCGGCGAGAAAAAAATCATCACCGGCACTGGTTCCTGTGTGCCGAAGTAGATGAACAAATATCAACGGGTAAAACTCCACCTGAAATCACTACGCTTGTGTTCACATTGCAAAGCAGAACGAAGTGCCTTCGTGCATAAGCGCCACACGAACCTCAGAGCGCATGCCTAAATGAGCCTGCGGTAAAAATTCAAAATGGCGGACGACGGTAGCAAGAAATTGCGCCAGAACGGTACTTCGTCTGAAAATGTTAGACCAACTAATGTTCTACCAGGGACCATATTTTTGACTGGAGTTGCTTTGGCATCAATACTTGGTGGCTTTAGCTACGCTATCGGACAAGCGCGTCGGAGAAGTCCAGGATCTTTTGATCAGCGTCAACAAGAAGGAGTGAAGTTGGCTGTCAGAGCGCTCGGCTGGGGTACTGTTCTTGCTGTAAGCGGCGTAGGCCTTCTAGTATTTGGAGTGAAGACTGCTCTAGGAGTCAAGGATGTAAGGGAGCGTGCCATTTCTTTGTTTTCTTTTTTTACGCGGTCGAATTCGAACGCATGACGTACAATTCCATATTTTGCACGTGCATCTGCTAGTCTCGTGTCAATTAAAGTAAGCTTATTTGAACGAAAATGCAGATTACTATATACTATTATTATACTTTTAATACTACGTACTGGTACCTTTTATGTTAGCATCTCAAAAATGTTCATGTAAGAAATGGTGAATTGTGGAATTGTGTAACGATCTCACTTGTTTTGGAACGATCTGACCATGGAACGATCAGACTGGATACCTTTGCTATTGATCATCTCTCTGTGGTAAAACCTCAGGCTCACTTTTGCCGGCTCAATACACTGTAAGCTTTTTCCTGGTAAAGTTCATACAAATAAACTTAAGTGAGTACTGTCATCAGTAAAGGTCTATTCAAAGGCAGGGCTGGGGTATTCCAAAACACTGACCCCTGGTCCACGGACCCCACTACGGACTACCCTAACCACTGCGGACTACCTTACCGGAGTGGTCCATGGAGTACCCCTATGGACCCCCTCTGCGGACCACCCCAAAATAGAATAAAAATGATAAATAAAGATTTCACTCATGGGTTGTCTAATAGATTACTCATGTCAGTGAAATTTCGAGTGTTATGCTATGCAAATGTAACCGACCTGGGTTTATAACACCCCCTAAAAATGTCTAAAAGCTGTCTTCCATGTAAGAAGATGCTGATGGGAAAAAGAAGGAAAGTTATTACCTTCCACTTGTGGCTCAGTCTGGCTACGGATTTGTTTTAGGTTGTTTATTAAGCTTGTTTGTATCTGTAATTCCGCTGTGTAAATCGTGAAAGCTGGAATGAGTTCGCGAACCCACTGTGGCAGAATGGGCTGAACAAAATGGCAGAGGGGAAAGAGTGCAAATTTAATTTCGAGGTTTCCTGGAAGCTTCCTGGAGGCTTCATGGTTTTTTATATACTGTGTGGCCACAGCAAAGGAAATGGCAATGTGTAATGATACAAATTGTGCGCGAGCCTGAACCCAAGCCTCTTGCATTTGCACATTGTAACGTTCAAAATTTCGCCGACACAAGTAATCTATTAGACAACCCGTAACTGAAATATTTATTATTTTTATTCTATTTTGGGTGGTGGTCCATAGAGTGGGTCCATAGGGGTAGACCGTGGACTGGTCTATAGGTAGTCTGCGGGCCTGGTCCGTAGTGGGGGTCCGCAGACCTGAGGTCAGTGTTTTCGGGTTACCAGCAGGACTGTGACATACCCAGTTCTGCCCCACTTCTTTCTTAACACAATCACTATTGATACAAATTATACAACAAAATATATGTCTGATGTCATTTTTACAAGGGCCTGCTTCATGCACCATTGGTTTCCATCTGAGGTTTATAACAATACTAATCACATGATATTATTATTATTTGTGTTGCATCTACATGTCGTAGCAACTGTTGGTGTCCAAGTACAGGCCAAATTCATGCTGGATTTCAATCTTTTTCAATAGACGTTTGAGAGAGATAGATGATGACTCTCTCTGTTTTTTGTTGTTGTTGTTTAATTTGTTTTGTTTTGGTTTTTCCTTATCAGGCAAAAGAATTTGGTTTGAAAATGAAGGGCATTCTTCCCACAAAGGATGGAAAATTTGTATCCTATTTTGAGTCCTGGAAAATTCCAAGAAATAAGGGAGGTGGGAATGTTGATGAATGGTCTTCCTCAGGTTCAAAATCAGAAAGTCAGAAAATAACAGAAAAATAAAGCTGGTTTCCTGGAAGGATTTGGATTAAACTCACTGCTTGTTCCTTTACATGCTGTAAGAGGACAACTAGCATAAACTCTGGCATGTTACACAGCCTTGAGACCTGAAACACCACAAAATATTGGAATTTATGAGAGGCAATGTCATTATTGCCAGGTCCTGACAGATCTTCCAATTACTTCAGAAAGCGACTGTTAACGAAAACTTCACAGCAACAAATCCGTGATTGATGATAGACAAGTCTGCCTTTGTCCATTTCCTTGGAATGGGGTGAAACTCTATTATAAGTAACACAAGTTTATGAAGAACACTACAAATTTACCTGAAACAAAGGTTGCGTGAAAAGTTAACAAGTAAGATTACGTTTGATGCATTCTGGAAGCCTGCACTTCACTTTTCATGCTCCATTCTATCTGGTGTGGCACTTAGTCTTATTAATGACCTCACAACATGTGAGACTGAGCCTTTCAGTTTGCACCGTCTTTAGACTTTGTTAGCTGGCCATGTGATCGCAGGGTGGTTTTATCAAGAGATTGTCTTTGAAGACAACATTAAATATAGTTCAGTATTATTTTTTTTTTAATTCAGTATGGTGCTTAGGTGTTGGTTTTCCTTTTCTTACTCCACTCCTTTGATCAGTTCTCTAACTGGCCAGGGAGTACTTCAGACTAGGGGTAGGAGTGTACCACGTACCCTACAAGCAGGCTCTTCCCTGCAAAAAGCTGGCTTACAGCTATGTACCACTTAAAATAAACCGCTCATGATGGTCACCCTTCTCTAGCTCATGTGACTGGGCTCATCGGCATACATATGATAAACACAACATGTCAAGATGTGCTAGGAGTAAGGGGAAGAGTCCTCACAACCCATGTTGTGACTCCTTTAAAGACAGCAAAAGCTGGGCCATGCAAGCTGACTTCATGTATGTCCTTCCACAAGAAATAAAGACTAACACAAGTCTGATAAATTACAACCTTTATTATTAAAAGACAATTTACATGTACTGCAACCATGGTACACCTCTGCAGAGTCTTGTTTAAGTTCTTTCAATTTAACCCTCAGTGAAGATAAAATAATATATGATGTTTAAATAAAATTGCTTTAAATGAAGTTTAAGAACTATCAACATGAAGTCATTTCTTGACTAGAATTACAGAGTAGGTTGGCTCATGGGTCGTACTTTTCAATACTAAAAATTGACACTATATTTGTACGGATAATTTCAAAAAAGTATTCCTAAAAGGTAAACAGATAATTTCACTGACTAATCGGGAATGACTACCAGTACTTAGAGTAAATTGAATAGACATATTGTGAAGAGTAACAACCTTGGTAAAAATGGATAAGTTGCCACTGTTACATTTGTGACAAAGATTTTAGATTGAGTCAGAGCCCAGAGAAAGGCTAAAAAAATAAACATCATGAAAGGAAATCCTGTAGTATTAGTGTCATTATAAGACATTATTGATTATTTGTAAGCTTCCAATGCCCTCGAGCCCTATCAACATCAGTTTATTTCAATTGTTATTCTACACTGTCTAGTTCATTCACTCTTCACTTGACTCTTTCAGTTTTGCTTGTGAATACCTGTAACTAAAAAAGAATATTAAAAGGTACAATTAATAAGCATTTCAACAGTATATATGCTTGCCATTTGTTGGAAGTAGCTGGTTGGAATTACTCAATGACTGTTAAATTAAATGTTTACAAGGGTTTTCCCAAAGTCAGCAACAAACCGAAGGAGCTGGTGCTAACCATTTACAATGAATCTGGTTTCCTATTTTTTTTCTCTTAATAAGAGTTCTAATAGAAACTGGAGCAAACGGAAAGGAAATTTTCCAAATTTATGTTATTCTGAATGGGCAAAGATTTTTCAAAAAATCCCAAAAAGAAAATCAAATGGATTAGTAAGAATGCCTTACTCAGTATAACTTCACTGTAAGTTCTTTCTACAGCTAAATTAAAATACAGCAATAAAATACATACTATGCTATTCTACAAAGCTGATTTATTCCTGTGATTCCAAGACCAATGTTAACACTAAACAGCAGCCAGTTCTTAGGGATGATAACCATGGAGTAACGTGCCCATATCAATCCTGCAACAACAGTACAATATTATAAAACTTATGTACCATATGTCTGTTATGTTGAACTCTATACTAATATCATGGTCAATGATGTGGCTGAGATCAATGGCATCACTTGAATGTAGAACATCATCATCTGCAGGTTTGAACGAACATTTATCATCTATTTATCATTTACTGATATTTAAAACCAGAAAATTACCAGCCGTATAGCCAAGTGAAAAGAGCACTTGTTTTTAATGGTATACTCAAAGTGGTTTCTTCCCATACCTAAAACAGAAGTGTCACATGGCAAGATAAAATAGCAGAAGGAACCACTTAGAAGATATCGTAAAATATTGACAATTTTTTGGCATTTTTCATACAAACCAAAGAAACTTCTCCATAAATCAATTTACATGTAGAATACCAGATTTAGTAAATATGCAAAGTTTTATGATAATCTGTTGCAAACTCATGGAAATAAGAGACCCCAAACTTACCAAGTTTACAAAGAAAATGACTTTGTATGCCAGGGCACAAGCACTTTCCCAAGGCATAGATTTACTTGGACAGAAGTGGCAAGTTTCAGGTCCTTTATTCCTACGAGTGTGTGACGGATTATTATGAAACTTCCCATACTTACAAATTCCACATGATAGACTTATTTCTTTGATTAAATGAAATTGTTGGAAAAGCATGACCTTTTTGATTTGGTCCAAGTGATAGGGATGTTTATGTTCACCAATGAATTTCCAGCAATATGATTACCTATAACTTTCAGTGCTATAGATAATCGATAGACATCTGTACTTACCTGTAGCTGCCAGTGCAGTGGATTGTGATGGGCTGAGTTTATCAGCTGGCCTTGCAAGATCAGCTATTCCAGCAAATACAAGACCCTTAAATAAAACAGTTCACAATCATTTCTTTAATAACATAAAAGTAATGTCCTGCAAATCATATACTGTCTACATTTGAGAAATTTAATATTAAATATAGCATTATATACATGCAAATCTTACCCATTTGAAAGCTGGAGCCCAGAAAAAGATAGTCTGAGGTCCTGAAAATAAATAAATAGAGCATACAGTTTCTACAAAGCCAGAAATGTCACATGATCAGTGAAACATAACATTGACTAGTGCAGACCCCACACCCCCTCCCCCTACTCCACATATCGGGAGGCCGATCTTTCAACCCCCCAGAAATGACTAAAACTGCGTCTGAAGGGTAAAGTTTCTCAAATTGAACTTTAGGCACCAGTACACGAGCGCAGATGCATGGCAAATTGAAAAAGCACTACAAAATTTTAATCAAATCCAACCAGAAACATATCACACGTCACACGCTAATAAATTATGCCAACCAAATTCAACAAGCAAGCCGGCGCCGGTACAGGAACCTGCGCGCAGCAAGTTCTATTTACAACGAAGACAAACGCAGGAAAACACACTGACAGAAAAAAGTGCCATCACTGAAACGCTTATGTTGTACAAACGGAGGTCTAACTTTGCTTTACAAACAGAACATCAACCAGAACATTTATTTCGCGTTAAGCATAGGTTCCAACGCAATCGTAATATTTCGAAATATTTGGATGAATTTTAAGCCGTCCAACTACATCATACGTGTCTAAGGGAAAAAAAGCTTACTTACCAGCTGGCGCTTTCCAAAACGGAACAAGTCTACGAGGTAATGCCGCTTCGATCTGTCCGAGGAAACGCACCCAAACCACCTTCACTGCACTCATTTTGCGTACTAAAGTGACGATTAGGTAATTTCAACAAAATGGAAGACAAGAGTTTCACAACAGAAGAACTGGGAATTAGTGACATTCTAACAGCATGCATGATTGGTTGAAATTCAAAAACAGCCAATTGAAATTCTTGTAGGAAATGACCCAATGAAAAGCGCCAGAGGCGTACACTGAATTTCACAGTAAGGAGCGGGAACTTGAAAGCGGGAAAGACTCGCAGTTTGTTTGTTATGGAAATGTAAATTCGCTGTTCCCAAGCGGTTTTGCTGAAATGCGAGAGAGAACAAAGAAGACATGAGACTTTACATCCGTAACAAAGAAAAATATGATCCTTCAAAGGCTGGCAAGGCGTTGGTATTTGTGGAATTTCCAGATCCTCGCGTGTTTTCAGTTGGGCAAGTGAAGGAGGTAAATTATCTTCGTGTTGTTTTTCATTGGAACATCCAAATCGGAGATCTGAGAGGTTATTTAAACCTTAAAAACCCCCAAAGATCCGTTACCTTGTGCTTGAAACCAAGGACGATCTTGTCTTTTGAAAATTGCCGCCCAAGTAAATTTGCTTTCCACGGGACAACGCGCCAGATTGACAGTATGACTTTTGCAGACTGCACTGCACACTACAGACTGTATTCGGACACTAAGTAGCGCTCTGGTTAGCCTGAAAATAATTGAGGTTAACCTGAATAGCGCTCAAGTTAGCCTGGTTACGGTTAACTCGCGGTCATAGGAATGGAAATACAATGATGAAAAGTCTGCAGTCTGTAGACTGCTACATCGCGCGCAAGAAAATAAAGTGGGCATGCTGCGCGCAAATAAGCCATATTTGTATTCTCGGTATTGGACTGGAACTAGCTTACAAGTGAGGCTAATGCTGGGATCTGTTCTAAATGCAAATGACAGTAATATCTTTGTAATGTTATACCCGTGCATGAGCCTTTATTGTAAGTTCCAGTCCAGTACCAGGAATAAGTACAGGGCTTGTTATAAATGACTTAGCTACGTGTACTATGCACGCTCTCATTGGTCGGTAGGTGTGTTTAGATGACAGTATGGAAACATGGTTGTGACATGTTAGATTTTGCTTGTAGTTTAGAGAATTATTTTACAAAAGAAAGAGAAGACTTTTTCCATGTTTTTATAGCCTTATTTAAACACTCAGGAGGGTTGGAGGAATTCTTAAAAGTTATGTAAACCCTTGACTGCATCTTGGGTTTGTGTAACTGTCTCGAATCCCCTCGTGTTTAAACGAGCTGGGTCATGTAAACATGGAAAAAGTACACCAATTAGCTAACACTTCCTATATCTAGTATACATTTTCCTTCTGAATCAAAACTACTGCAGTGTGTTGTATAACTTTTCATAGTTACAGAACTTTACAGACCCCTCCTCACCACCACTACCCCCTCCCATTCCCCCCTTNCCCCCCCCCCCATTTCCAACCTCCATGGCAGAAGGTTTTCTCTCCGGGGGTGGGATACTCCCATATAAAAGGACGGGAGTGTTGGTTGTACCTTTTAGAGGTTAAAAAAGCAGTTTTGGTACCTGTTAGGGTGTTCAGCCTCAAAAGGTCCACAGCGGGAGCTTTTGTGGTGCCTTTTAGGGTATTGAGCTGAAATAATATGACAGGAGATAATGCTTTGTTTTAGAATTGGTACCTCTTAGGAATGAATAAAAATTCAAGTGATGCCCACAAAGCAGGATCTTGGTACCTCTTAGGGGTTCTTTTCAAAATTTCCAACAAACAGCCCCACCCTATTTATATGGGAGTCCCCCCGGGAGGGAGGGGGCTCTCCTGCTTGCACAAACAGTTAGTAGTTTGAAGGGTGATGACAACTCATCAGCATATATAAAACTAGCCTGCTTTGGGCCAGCAGTGTACATATTGGCTGTGAGATCTACAAACGTTAATGTAAATAACGTGATTGTATTTTACACACTGCCTGATTTTGCATGTATTTCAATTGTCAGGAATTCAAAAAGAAAGCCAGGGCGGCAAAAATTGACTCTTTGTATTTCCGTCAAGATGATGGTTCCTATGAGGTCTTAGCTGATGACCGGTGAGAATTGTGTAGAGCTGGTCTCACTAGCTACAATAGTTATTGTTCATAATATTTGGTTTGACTTAAACAGGACTCGAAAAAAACTTGACTTCCAGCTTTCCCTCAGTTCAAATGGCTCTTGAATTTTGCTTGCCCTGGGCAAGTCTTAGTTTGCTCATTTAATGATTTGGTTGGCAGACGACTTGCATGATCTGTTGCCCATCGGGCAAGTGAGAGTGAAAAGTTACTTGCCCAGAAGGAGAATGTACTTTTTTTGAGCCCTTCTTAGAGTGGATAGCAAAAAGTGTGAATTAGGTGGCTGTTAAAGTCATGTGTTATCATTAATGTTCAAGTTAAATCTTAGATCTAGTGGCATAATGGTTATATAATAGTGTGCTGGTGTGGTGGACTCTGGATCAAGTGGCTTGAGTTAAGTGTGATTTAAGCCAGTGATGGGCGCTATCTTGGCTGCTTGGTGTTATGCAATGTGTCACACAGGAAAAATTTCTTGCAGACATAATAAAAAAGTCCTGTAATGACCAAGCTTGTTCGGTCAAGATGGCTGGATAATGGCTTTGTTCTTTTTTATGAGAGTTTCATGGACCTTGACCTTGTCTCATAAACATGCAAAAAAATAACTTGACCAATATCAAGCCATCTTGACCTCACACTTGGTTAATAACCCACATAATATAATAACACTATATGACTGTTTGGAATTATGACAGGACCATAGGCTTCTACAATATACAAGACAATGCTGTTCTGGAAACAACAAGCAATCCTCTTTGGGCTGCTACCATCTACTATAGATTGCGGGAAGTGGAAAGAGATGCTGCCAATCGTGCAGATGATCCAAGGGCTGCTAGAGGATTGGAGCAGTCATTGATTCAGAAGTTTATGGCATTGGGTATTCTCTTTAATGGAGGAAACAAGTGAGTTGGTCAAATCTCTGCTTTTGGACACCTTCAAGAAGAGGACAACTTCTTCAATAAAACATTAACTATACAGGCTTTTAGTCAAGATTTGAAGAGTGGATGTCCAAAATGTGCTATAGGGTCTGTTGAAATGAACAATTGACAAAGCAACTTGAAAAAAAAATAAAACAATATTTTATTTAAAGGTGGGCATCCACAGGACACCCAGATGCCCATATGACTAAAAGCCTGCGTCAACCCATAATAGAAAACCTCCAATCATGGGACGCCCTTTCCATAAGCAGGGTTGTTATTAAAGTTATCAGCAGGAAGGCAGTATTGGTTTTCATAGGCAGGCAAAACTTTTTGAACTGAATGTCTTTATAAGAAAAACTTTCCTCCAGATAATCAAACAAGGCAGGCAAAATCATCCTCACAGCTGGGTAATTTGCCTGGTGTCCAACCCTTATTGAAACCCCTCCATACTATAAGGGCATACTTTTCATTACGGGACAATATCCATAGGGTACACCTGCCATATAAGGACACACCTTCCTCACACCCTGCAGAAGAGAAATCTTTCTATAGGGACATACCTTACACAGGGGCTGACCTTTCAAAATGAAACATATCATAAGGAGAGGTAAATGGTTACTTTAATTTATTAGTCGGCGGCAGCATTGGGGGCATTGATTCATGTCCGAGCATCAATTTCTTCTAACAGTACAGTCTCCTCTTCTTAAATTAATAGCCATCCTTAACAGATCATTGCTTAATCCCAAATGTTATTTAAAGAAAGAAACTCCAGGTGAAACAAAAAGCTTTTTTTGTGCTTTAGTCATGAAAGGCAACAGCCTCCATACTTTGAAGAGTTGGACCAGCTATTTGAACATCTTCAAACTGCAGGCAAAAAGCCAGTCCACATGTCCCAACAAACCTTGGATACCCTGCAACAACTAAAAGATGAGTATGAACAAAACGACATCCATGAAAAAGACTCCATTGGTCACTTTGTTCGTAGACAGGCTGTGAAATTAGGACTTACTGCAAGTAAGTGGCCAGGTTTAATCGGTAGTTACCAAGTATTACTATGTTAGCTTGTCGATAAGCAATATTCAAATGGAGGGTAGGTGCCAATTGGCAGCAAAGCAGGCAATAAGCAAGTGAGTGTGAGCAAAAGGCAAATAAAGGGGCCACCTATGGCAACCTCCCACTGGTCACCTCCCCCTGGAACCTGTCACACCAAGTTCTCAGCGGAGAATAAGTGAACTTACCTGGACATAAGGGCCCTCCATGCACCAAGACGTGGGTGTGAGGGAGCAAACCAAAGGCCAAAGTGACAAGGCTACACAAAACAAGTCAAATATGCATACCCAAGGCAATCATCTGCTGGCTAACAGAAGACCTCCCAGTTAATAATCATGATTATTGTTAATCTCATTTTAGACTTATACCATGGCAGTGACAATTTTATAGACGTAGAGATGTGACATCAACCTTGTTCCAGGATCTCTCTTCATTATTCCTTGGAACATGATAAATTTGTAATGAGATGAATATGTTAAGAGACAGTAGTTGTTAGTAGAAGCTCTCTAACCAGTATGTAAACAGTTATTTTTAAAAAGCTTTTTGTAATATTTAATAGTTGAGTTAATATTTTTCCTTTGTCAGACATCATTATCACAATCTAACACAAATTGGTTTGAAATTTCTCAAATCGAAAGCAAATGAGCTTATTGTTTTCATTGATAGATGAATCAAATGGAAATGGTGATGACCACAGTAATGGAGAAGTGCAGAGGTAAGCAGTCTTCTTACTGAAGATAACTTTATTTACATATGAACAGGGCTCGAAATTGACTTTTTTATTAAGGAGCCAACTGGTGACTTATTCCCAAAATTTTGGTTGACGGATTGTAATGTTTGGTTGCCTTGGTTTTTTTCACTGATTTTTTACTTCAGTATATTCTTAATATACACAAACTTCAACATAGTTCTAAGTTCACGTGCAAAGAAGCTTAACATACGATAGTAGAATTTAAAGCAAGAACACATAAAACAACGTTATGAAGTAACAATCGATGTGAAAGCAGCTCCAGTCTCATTTTCCGTGTTTCCTCTTCTTCCTTCTCTACTTTCACTTCCATGCAATTTTCGACACTGAGACAAGGTTTTGTGCCTTAGTTCTTAATATCTGGTCGCCCACACTCAATTTTTGGTCACATTGGCGACCGGTCAGTCGCATTTATTGATGAAGAGAAATTTATGGCTTAAGAAAACTCTGCAACATCCTTTACTGTTAGCATGCCATGCAGTAGTTGTTTACATGTACTTCAATGTAGTCTTTTCATTCCTTCTGAAATGGAGATGCACATTGACAATGTGGACAAATTGATGGGTCGCCATACAAGAATGAGACTGCTTTGTCCTATTTATGATTACGTGCTATCATTTTAAGACCTCAGGGTGCAGTCACCAGAGGTGGAAGAGGAAGAGGCAGCAACAGGGGTAAAAGGCCTAGTGGAGCTGGCAGAGGTGGCAGGAGAGCACCTCAGAAGCAAAGGATGTGTGAAGACTGTGAGGAGAATGCAGCTACTCAGTTCTGTGCTGACTGTCAACCACCATTGGTTCTGTGTGATAACTGTGCACTTGTGCTACACAGGGGAGTCACAAGAAGAAATCACCAGTTGAAAGGTAAGTAAAAGTTCCATTGAGATAAATACCCATTTCTTCAGGTATCTGGACAGGCTTTTAGCCAGATTGGTGTCTAGGCATCCTGTGGATCGCACTTTGTGTAAAATTTATCAAATGTTGTCATATAAATATTGCTGATTTGAGCAGACCCTATAGCACATTTTGGACGCTCACTTTTCAAATCCTGGCTAAAAGCCTGTATCTCGACATAATCTAATTATCTATGTCATTCTTAACAGTTAGTGAACTGTTTGATATCTTCACAGTCTACCTCCACTGACCTCAGTTTTGTAGGCAGTGGATTCATAAGGAAAAATATATAGCTCTCACAGATCATAGCCATGAGTCTGCATAGTGTAACTGTGGTCTTTTGTTTTGTCAGATGTCTCAGAAGCACCTGCCCCTGCAAAGGGCTACACACCTAAGGTAAGCTTCTAAAAGAAGCAACATCAGATAATGTTTATCATTTGAGTCTGGTGTAATTAAATACTGCACTCTTTCTTGCAGGCATACAGAGCACCATTTGCCATGCTAGTGGCATTTCATAGGTAGGTGATTTGCGAAGCGTATTTTCTGTAACTTTGAAAATGTTGAGGAAAAGGTTGTTGTTATTCATCGTGGTAGATGCAATAATAAAGTGTATTATCGTTTGTCTCANGCCTGAAGAAGACTAGCAGTAAGCAGTCGAAACGTCGCGATCTACATCTCAAGTGACTACATCGTGAGACAAACGATAATACACTTTATTATTAACTTTGAAAATGATAGTCTCATATTGTTCATGGTGCCAAAGTTGAAATGTTGTAATTGCACTTACAGGGCTTCTAATGAAGTTCCCAGCAAAATGAGTTTAAATGCAGAAGACCTTAAATCCAGAGCTCAACCTCTAACAAACACAGATTTGGAAATCAAACAGGGTAACTTGATGATCTGGCCAGCATTCAGGGGTTTCATTAACATTTTTAGCAGGAGGGCAACTGGTTTTCACAGGCAGGAAATTTTTTTATATTGAACTTATGTATAAGAAAAACTTTCCTCTAGATTGTCAAACCAGATGGGCCAAATCATCCTCACTGCCGGTCAGTTTGCCCTGTGCCTGACCCTTAATGAAACCCCTGTGGCATTGATTACATGTAATTATATAGCCCAGAACCACTAATGGGCTATTCACTCTCAGCTTGCAAAAGGGACCACGATATCTATTTGTGAAGGATTAGTTAACCATTTGACAGTCAAATAATGGACTTGGAGAATACCATAATCTTTAGGTCATTCATTTTAACTGAGCATCACAATTCTTCTCAAAATTGTAAGTTTGCCATAAAGATCACCAAACGTACCATAATGGGGAACTTGCCTCCACTTTGGATTGATGACCACTGCTACTATCAGCACTGCTACCAGCGGTAGTAGTGCTTTGTAGACCATAAAGAGAATTTGTTTGTTGACAGCTGCATGTACAGGATGCTTGCAATGTGAATCTTGATCTTTCCTGTCATCAGTCATCTAAGCATTGATGCATGAGAATGATTCAACCTCATCCCAAGCTTTTCTTCATTGGCTACCGTGAATCTGAAGAGGAATTGTCTGTTCTCATTAACAGGAAGATGGTTTGGAGGCTTTGACTCACTTGAAAATGCCTTGATGAAGAATGAGCTTGTACAAAAGGAAGCAGAAATACCAAAGTAAACAAACTTTAATATGTTAGTGAATCCCTTGAATGTACTGATTATAACCCCAACAACAGTTCTTTTCATAAGCACCTTCATCCACACTAGATGAACTGCTTAAAACAGAAGCATACATATAACTAGTCTACAGACCCTGTGACCCTTCCAAAAGATGCTACACTGCTGAAAAAATTAATAACTTTCCCAGGTGATGAGTTGGTGCCAGACAGGTTCACACGAGGTAGCCCAGAAGAAAGGAATCTGCTCAATGTACATCAAGCAGAATGTGATGTTCAAATTAGCCCAAAATATATTGCATACTCACTAGGACAATTTTAACAACTCTGCAACCAAGTCTTTCTATTGATAGTGTCATGATAACATACTTTTTGACTGAGATAGGTCAGGCTGCTGAGACTTTTTTTTTTAATCTTGGCCAGGTCTTGAATGACCTGCCATCAAATGATTATTTTCTTATTTTCTTGTTTTCTTGATCAGTAAGTAGCTACCACTGTAAGTAAGTTAGAATTCCCTCCCTCCCATATGAAAACGTAGTTCTTTAAGAAACTGCTGTGAGCTTCCACTGGTATTTGGAGATAGTAGTGGCATCGTTTAGGTTCACAGACTAACCCTGTTGTAACATATGCCTCACCACTTTCAATCAAATGAAATTGATAGTAATTTTACAGGTATTCTCTTGTGGAAAAGGGCTTGCCCTTAGCTGCAAGGTGCTCAGAATTTGATTATGCTGTTCAGAATCTCACTCAGTCAGCCTCAGTTCCAACCATACCAGTCATGGCAGCAAGGTTTGTTCTAGGCAATAATATTATACAGTAATTTGTTTGCTCTTTGTTACCTATCTATGATCTTTTTTGTCTGGTTGTTGCATTGGAGGTGTGAGCCTTTGGGCTTTCAGTGAAAATACCGGAGCTTTTAACTCTGTCTGTGAAGACACCACACATTCTTGATGTAATTTGTGCTATTCAGCAAACTGGTTGCTTGACTCTGCCACTCTCACAGTGCCTCCCTCCACCCAAGTGTATAAATGGGCACTGACATTTGATGCTGGGTGTAGCCCTACAGTAGTCTAGTATCTCGTCCAGGGGGGGAAGGGGGGTAGAAATAGTCCTGGCCTTTTCATGCCACTAAAACTGAGATAAGCCTTGGTGCTATGGTGCACTTAGCCTGATGCAGTCTTTACCTTAATACTTATCAGAAAATTGTGTCTGTGGAGACACTACAATGTACGTAGGGTTAGGCTATTACAGAAACTAGGTCAATCAGTCATGGCAAAAATAATAAACTAGACTAAGCTAAAATCATGAACCCTTCCTTTAAGGGACTAATGGACAATGAGATCATCTTGTTTTATAGGCCAGTATTCAGAAATCGCCAAGTGTGCTTGTTAGTTGACAGTGAAGAACCATTGAGGGAGCGTTTTGTTAGAGTGGCACTACAGAGAGGACTGTCAGCAAAAACAAGAAAGCTCCCTGTGGGAGATTTCCTGTGGGTTCTGCTTCCTCCTGGAGTGAATCCTGACACAGTCAGAGATATGCCAGAACAGGAACTGGTAGGTAGAATTGTTCAATTTTAACCCTTTAAATTACAAGCTCAAAGCTCAAGATCTTCTTCGTCTTTCTAGAGGACATATTTCTCGTAATGAAATTTACTAGGTACAAATCATCTTATAAAATAAATAAAGTAAATCTTGTTCTATGCAGGACTTCTTTGAGGTTAAAAGGTTTTTAAAACATTTAACCTCAGAAAAGTCCTATGTAGAGCAAGATTTGCTTTATTTATTTTATATGTGAACATGAGAGGTTCTGAAAGTTGCAGAAAAACTATTGCAAGTTATCTGTCTGAGGCAAATTAACTGTAGGAGATGGATAATTTGTCTAGGCATAAATTTGGTGTTTAGATGAATTGTGAGGCAAATTTGTCTCTGGTTAGTTTGTCTTTTAGCATGTCTTGAAGACATATACTGACAGACAAATCAGCTTTATGACATGGATTTTGCCCCATGTTCATCTTAACACTGAGTTTGTATCAAGATGGATTGTCTGTCCCAGGCGGATAAATCATCTGATCATTAATTAAAAGAAGCTCATCATTATCTTGAAGTTTTTTACAGACCCCATCTGTTTTCATAATGACAATATTCAAAATATTTTGCAGGTTCTTCCCATGCTTGTAGAGAGGAAAACATGGGATGACTTGTGGTCTAGTCTCAAGTCCACAAGATTTGTGAATCAAGTTCACAGAATGAAGGTACGCTAGCATGAAATAATACTTTAACTGCAAAAGAATACAGTGGAACCTGGTTAATACAACCACCTTCGGGCCATGGAAAATTAGTTGTATTAACGTGGTGGTCTTATTAAAGGAGTTCTTTAAATAGGAAAATGACTGAGTGAGCTTTTTTTCGGGTCAGAATAAAGTGGCCGTAGTAACGAAGTGGTCGTATTAACGGGGTGGTCATAAGGCGGGGTTCCACTGTAGTGGCATTTGCTGAAGAGTAAAAAAAACTGTAGTGGTATCTTAACGAGACAATTCTCAACTGTTTTAGTACAAATAGGTATAAGCTGGTTTGTGATGATGCAATTACTGGCAGACATGAATAACACTAACATGTTATATATGAAACGCTAAAGTTGAATCATTTTTTTTCAGAATTGTGGTTTAGAGAATCTTTTCTATTTGGTGGAGGGTAGTCCTAAAGAGCTGAAAGGAAACCCAGGGCCTGAGGTGGAGAGTTTTCTGCAGGTACATACTACACAGGCGGAGACAGTTATAATTTATTGAATTTGATCATAGATTATTTTCAGTTGGCTGTTATAAAGTCAAAGCAAAGTAATCATTGTGGCTGATGACAAAGGACAGAGACAATCCAGGTAGTAAACTTCAAGAGTCAAAGAAAATAATTGTAGCAGACCTGTAGTGTAAGAGAACGTACAGGATTGAGTCATGCTTTAGTTTTACTTGATAAACTGTTGCAACAGCAAGCTTTTTAAGCAAGTGCTTAGCATAGCAAAGTAAAACCAAGCAACTCCAAATTACTGTCAACTTTCAAGTGAAAACTGCTCAGACTTAAACCTCTGGATCTAAACAATGGAACCAGATGAGCATGACTATTAAAGTGCAAAATAACTAATTTGCATTTTCATGTACAAGACTGAAGAGTAATGTTGATAAAATTGATGTAAGAAATTCATTTTCTAAGTGTTCTTTTGCCTTTATGTACTTTGTTGGTCTTAAATCAAGAGTTTGAACCAATTATTGTCCCTGGGGAAGGATTTGACAAAAAGTACCTACCTGAAAATATTGTCTGGTTGCTGATAAAATGCTAAGTCAGCTTTCTTGGTTGGAGTAATGGTAACGTAACTTTCTTAAAGACCTAAAGCAAACATGACAATGTGCAGGTACTGAGTTAAAATTATAGTACTTTGTACCATTGGAAAATGACAATTGATTGTTATTATTACTGTCATGCCTTTTAAGGACAAAATTGACAGTCTACTTTTAGAGGATCAGTTTCTTGTGAACCGCACTGGCTCATGGCTCAAAACGGTGGAATGGCTTTGTCATTTAACTAACATGGCCATAGAAGCTCTGCTGTCAGGTACACAGAGATGTTTCATAATATTAAATTAATGGTCAAAACTACCTAAAATAAATAAGTTAAAAAGTTGAACATAGTTACGTCTTGTAAGGCACTCAGTAACTAAGGGACATCTTGCAGTGGGATGGTAACAACGTCTGTTTACACAGTGTCAAAAATTCCAATGCAACAAATGCACGTGGGGAATAGCCTTCCCAGCCACTGAATATCATTACTGAGATAAAAGGCTAAAAGTTTGAGCTGGATTTAGAGCACCACAAGATTTGCAAAAACTGTTCACAGTCTTTTAATTTGGACAATGATAGAACAGTGCCAACCACTGCCTAACTAAAGAATGGATATTCTCATTTGGAATTGGTTCTGCCCCTTCCAGTGCTGAATCATATCATCCTGAATCTTTGTAATTCAGCTTTTGGAAGTCTACACAAAATCGAACCCTTGAGGTGTTGTATTTTTGGTAAGCAGATTTAAAATTTGTACTGAGGTTTGGGTTTGCATGTTGATCATGTATAACATTTAGATGCCTAAATTCTTACACGGTAAAATTTCTTAACCAGGTTAGCTAAGAGAAGTTTGGTCTATTTGTAATCAAGAATAACTGTCCAGTTGTTGCACAAAATGTGTGCCATCAAGCATTTAACAGAAGGTTGTTGATTTGCAGAAAGAAGTCCCAGTTTAGTGACATACAGTGAATTTTCGAAGGGAGGGAAATCAAAAAGGTGCCTAACCACTGTTGCTTCAACATCAGCTGTTCCAGGTATGGTTAAAATGTGTAAAATCTTTTTTCACAAAGTGTGTACAGTCTGTTTTCTAGATTTTTAATCCAAAACTCTGAACAAGCTGACAGTATGATTCACTAGCTCAGACGGCACTTTTGGCATGAAACAGTTACAATCATGAAATTATGCTTTCCCGGATAGACTAGCAAATGTATAATTGCCCTTGAAAACATCTACCACTGTAAGAGAAGTACATATAAATGGAACTATTGAGGCAATACATATGAACCTTCTTCTCATAAGTTTATTAAATAAATTATACTCAGAAGAAGTTACAAATTTCCCTTTTGTTTCTTAGCTACTTCCACTGTTTGGTCAGCAACTGAGTTTACAGATATTATAAGAAGGTAATATTGCTACATAGTAACAGTCTGCCGTTAACTTGTGTTAATTTGTATTTCATCAACATCCTTGAAGACAGCTTTGCTAATGATAGTCTAGCCCATTCTTTTGGTTGATTTCTAGTCATTTTTACCAAATTGTAACGAAGTGGGTAGAGCTTGAGAACAAAATTAATGGCATGATAATCTGAAAAACTATCCTACCTGGGGCAAATTCATGCATGAAGAATAAAACAAAAATATGGGTAAGACATTTCTAGCATTTGAGCATTTGACAACCATTTTCACTTGCAAAACGAAGATTCTTAGTACTTAGTGAATGCAAAACTATGTGCTAGTTAGATAGAATGTAATGCACAGAGACATATCTCAGCCACCAGATCCAGGAAAAATGTACTTAGCATGTTTGGGTTTTTCCAAAATTCTTTTGTTTAGTCATAGTCATGGTGGAAATGAGCTCCACAATCTCCCTATCAGCTGCAAAAAAGAAAGATCTTTAATTGTGATCCAAGGCCTTACTCTTTATAATAAGGTTAGTTATTTTAATGTACACCCTAATTTATTTGTCAAAAGTTAATCAATGTGTAGCAATTGACTTTTAACACATTATCATCAACTGTGTGATCTGTCTCCACTTTCTATTGAACATCTAAGTATTTGTGCTATAGTCTTAAGCTCTTAAGCTAATTACGCCAACGTCCAAGTAATTAGGCATATTATTTCTTGGTCACCACCACCAACAACAACAACCATTTTATTTTGCATAATACATAGAATATCATTTAGCAAAAGAATACATTAAACTTAATAAGCAAAAAAGCTACGCAAAATAGTAAAAACTAAACAAGCTGAGTAGTTACACTAGTTCTGATATTCACTAATGAAATTAAGCAATGCCTACAATTAGCACATGTGTTTTAATTGATAACAACAGTACTGCCTTTTTTTTCTTTTCAGCAATGTCACAAGCTACTGGACAAAGTACTTGCTGACCTCTTGGAGAACTCACATCAAACTGCTGAAGGTAGCACTGTCTATTCCAACAGCACTGTGTTTAAAAATTCAAACAAATTTTTTGGGCATGAGGACATTGTGATTTCTCAACTTTATGCTTCAAATTGATCCATGCAGTGTACCTGATGTCAAAAAGTTCAATCTTTGGTGTGCATGTGTATACCATGGATAAATAATTGGATTGTTGCAAGATAACTTGAACATTCTTCAAGTTTGATGTGAAGTATATATGAAATAATTCATATTTGAACTGCGGTTGTAGGTGAAAGTGAAGAATGATCATCGCAGTAAATTTTCCAATTTAAGCANTTTTTTTTTTTTTTTTTTTTTACTTCTTCCAAAAATGCCTCTTTACTCTCTCACTCCTCTTTGTGATGTAATCATCTCAAATCCTTGGTCTTTAATTATTATCCTGAACTCACCATTTGATATCACTCCTAGGTCCTGTGCTGTCCCTTGTTTCAACATTCTTCTGGCTTTGTTTTTACTTTGCTACTTTGTTTTTTTATTACTATGTATGTGAACCTGCTGCAAACAAATCACTTCATCGAGTACTTATTTCTTGTGCTGATTAGTTTTGCAATGTTCATCCATTAGCATGTGTTCAAAGACATCTCCAGGGTGTCACAGACCAGCTGATTCATGAGGATGTTCCACAGTGGTACATTCTTTGGCTACAGGTCAGACAAACAAAATAATAAACAAATGTTAAATTAGAATTTGTAAGAAACATTCCGGTAGGTTATCTCAGAAGGTTAATGGTATGTAGGTAGATTTGTAAAGAGACCTGATACTGTACAGTCTTAGCAATCCTATGATAACCACTCCAATAAGCAGGGAAACACCCAACAAAGTATTTGAACATTACATTCATTAATTTTCCCTGATTTCACATTACTGAAAACACCTTATAACAGCTATTACGTCTCCCTATTTCCAACAAGGGATATCTCTGGTGTTGTCCTCGGTCGACTATGGGTGGCATCAGTGACATCTGCACTTAAGGTCAACAATTCTATTTGCGTTTTTGTTTGTAGGTTTTTAAAGGAGTGATAGTGCGTAGAACAGACACTGAGGAAGAGTCAGCAGAAATTTTGGGGAAGTTTTATCAAACCTCAACAGGTACAATAAACTGTCAGAGTTGAAAGTACTGTGCATTTAGATGTACTTTGCAAGCAGTAAGTAGATGGTGTAATAAACAGCATAGTGAGATGTCTGTGTCTCAGCTAAGTTGTCTTCCTGTTCAATTAATAATGGATAAAGTTCTAAACAGACTATATCAGAGTGTCAAATTTTGAAGTGTTGTAAATATATTTTTTTTCATTTGACATATCTGTTGGTTTCTCTGTTATCTGAAATGGAGGTAACAGTGAATATTTTCATAACCCACTGACCGACTATTAGGTGAATGCTCAATCTGTTGGCTACACAGGAGCAGTCTAATAATTATTGCTAGACAGTAGTCTTTGATAGATCACTCAGTGGGTTATGCTAAGGCAATTAGGCTGCTCAATGTTGGTTTCTGTTGGCTTTAGCCATCACTCCTCATCAGTTATCAGCCAATAGAAAGCTCTCGCTCCCCATGTAATAATATTCTTAAAGAGTAGTCTTGACCCTAGGCTTGATTTTCACCTTGATGAGTTCAAATACATGTAGACTGGTCATAATGTGATCATCTCAGAGGCAGAGTGTTGACTTGTGATTATTGGACTAACAAAAAGGATAATTTAATTGTTATTTTTACATGTCAGGTGGTGAAGATGCTCCTCTTCCATTTAACGATGAAAGTGGTCATATTATTGGACAAAAGGAGGAAGGGTATTTCAATCTATAGTCAGAGAAATATAAGATAGTGCCACTGCTGATCAATGTTTGTATAAGGACTCAGTTGCAAGTGCTTGTGATCCTCTGTAATGGCCTCTTGACACCAGGGCATTATAATGATATACAAACAACCAAGTCAGTTCTTGAAGACAAGCTTCCAAGTCAAAATGCAACTTGCATTCTAACTGAACAATATTATCACTGTTTCTACTGATCACTATTGAAATTTTTATGAGACAAATTAGAGGTAATCATGTCAGCAAGGCCTGTTTGAGACTCAAAAAGGTGCTTAAGCTAAGTACAAAATGTTTAAAACATCTTGATTGTTTAGAGCAATTTGTCTTGCGACCTGACAAAAAATACTGGGAGATAATTGACCTGCAATGGACTATTGTAGCATCACATCCAGAAGAATGATTGTACTCCTGGTTGCTTTGTGAAGCACAAATTAGACTTAAGTAAGCACAGCAATGTGGGATAGCTGGCTCATGTCAATACTATCAAATCTGCTTTGACTGGATTGTAGTCAATTAACTAAAAATAATACTACCTTTTGTTTCCCTCTCTGTTCATTGATAGGCTGCCTGAGGATGACCTCATGTTCGCTACGGATTCTCAAGAAGAAGATGCAATGATCCGCCAGGTTGGATGATATTTGAAATGTATCTCATGTGAAGCATATCTTCATTCCATCTGTATCCTATTGTTCTAAATTTGTGTGTTTACTTGTGCATTTACCTGCCACAAATTAAATGCAAATCTCTCATTTTTTTTCTTCGTAGGCTTTAAGAGCATCACAGTATAGAGATAAGACTCCAGGGGTATGGTATTGTATGTTTACTTGATATTTTACATTTTACATTTTATTTTGTAATATATTTTAACTAGACTAGACATGTACATTTTAAGCACTATCCAACCATTAAAAATGAATTACCCTTATTGCATGTGTAGTTGTTTTCCCAAGATTGTCGTCTCTTTTCTTACAGGTCCTTATGGACTTTGTTTTGTCTCTACATTTTATATCATCCATTTTTCCCATCTGCATTCTCTAAGATATATGTTGTTCCTGTTATTTGTTTCAACAAAAATTCTTTCTGTTTTTGCAATGCAGGAAGTCTTACACTCTTCCTTGGTTAGACCCCCTAGCAGCTCCACAACAAAACCATCAGTTGAGCAGATGACTTCCAGCAGTTCAGACCATGGATTGCAGCCATTTTTTCTGGATTCCATGAATGAAAGGGAACAGCTTGATTTAGCTATGCAACTCAGCAAAGCAGAAAATGAAGCAGGTCCATATCACAGTGGACACATTCTAGGTCATGGTGAATCCTCTGCCAAAACATTAGGAACAAGCTGTGCATTAGAACAACACTCACACCCTCCTGTTAGGCCAAGAACTAAGAATGATGTACGTAAATCAACACATACAACTGTTTATGATAGCAAGATAGAGAGTGATGGTACAAATGATGAACTTGAGGAAGCCTTGAAACAAAGCTTGGAAGAGTTTCAAAACATGAAACAAAAACAGGTTGATAGGAGCCTCATGTCTGCTTCAATCAATGACCTGGAGAAAGCTTTGGAACTGAGCAGATTGGAATATGGTCCGCCAAGGAACAACATAGTGCGACAACCAGGTAATACAGGTGGCCCATCTGACATGGATGAAGAGCTTCAAAGAGTATTGGAATTAAGTAAGCTGGAGGCTGAAGAAAAGAGACAAAAGGATCACTGTGTTGATATGGCTGATGCACACAGAGCTTTGCAATTAAACCAAACAGAGGTGCAGCAATCAAAAAAAAGAGAAAGTACCAACCAAGAGCAAAGCAGAAAAGATACCACAAGAGGTTGTGACAATAACCTACAAAGAGCCGTAGGACAAAGCAGAGTGGAATATGAGAAATGCAGTTCAGATGCTGTGATAAGTTTGAATGAAGAGAGTCAACCAAAGGCAAATATTACTCCAGATGACAGAGAACTAGGAAAAGATCCTGTATCCAAACATGATGAAGATTTGGCCAAAGCCTTAGAAATAAGCAGAACAGATTCTGAGCATCAGGCATGGAATGACAAGGCAAAACAAAACAGTTTAGTGAAGAGCACAGTGCAAGATTCACAGATAGAGGATGGTGTAGCAAAAGCATTGGAACTGAGCAAAACAGAATACAGAAAGTCTGAAGACAGCACTGGTTTGCTCCCTATGCTTGGAAACAAAGAACAAACTGAGGACAAAGATCTTGAAAGGGTCTTAAAGCTAAGCAGAATTGAGTATACCCAATCCACCAATTATAGTCGGGATGGGAAGCAGAAAGACTCTGATTCAGATATAACTATTTTAGAAGAAAGTGTTCATGATGTTACCCCAAGGGAAAGAAATGTACCTGCTCTAAAACTGAACTGTCCTTCAACTGCAGTGAAGGATCCACTTTTGCTTGATGTTGATGACAATGATGTTGTTCCTTCTAGTGTAACCTCTGAATGGGATCCATATAATGAAAGTCGGGATATGTTTAATGCATTGGATCATGCCACACCAGTGGGAAGCTCAAAGTGTTCTGCAATTTTGCTAGATTCACAGGAACTTGATGATTCAGAAGACCTTCCAGTTGAAGACATTACCAAAACTAACAGGAAACAGCTATTCCTTTTAGAAGAAGAAAACAGCATTGATGATGATTTTGCATATGCATTAAAAGTCCAAGAAGAGCTGAATAAACAAGTTAAGAGTGCCGATAATCAGCACAACATACCAAGGGCAACTGGTCATGAGCTTGAAGACCAACTCACTTGTTATCGCCAGTCACAGAAAGAAAAATATGGTACAGTCTCTGGGAAGGGAGACAAATTGTCACGTGGACTTGATTTCAGGAGAAATGTGGCTGCAATTGCATGTGGCAAACCAGTGCAAATTGGTATTGCTAGTCCCATTAGTAGGTCAGGTCATTCTCAAAGGAAGCAGGATTCACACAGGGTTCTTGGCAATAAGTCATCTCCTGCTAGCAGAATCGAAAGTGGCGAATGTGATTATTCTCCTAAAAAGCAGGGTCCCCACAAAGATGAAGTATATCTCGTAAGGTAGGAAAAAAAATAAGAAGGTGGCCCATAAGCATCACATTTTTATCAATAGCCATCTAGACAAAGTGATTGAAGTGGTTCACTCACATGTAATAATAGAGTTATACAATATTATAGTAATAGTGGTTAACATGTTTTACTTGGCGGGGGGTTGGGGGGAGTGGGGTTGCATCTGCCTATTCAGAGATGACACTGTAGCAAGGCATCTTATTTGTTACTGTTCACTGAAAAAAAAATGTAGACTTTTTCTTTAGTCAAATTTTCTTGGAAGTTAGTTTCATTTTCATTAGGAAAGAGGAAAGACCTTGGAATGCCAAAAGCCAATATAAGAAAACTAAACAAGCCCTGTAAATAGCATTGGGTGCATGACTCAGTTTAGGTATTTTTGAAGAGTTGAGAGCAGTGTTTCCGCCAGAGCGTGCCATTGCGGGAATCCTGCGCTGCAATCAGAGATGGCCCCCAGAAAAACGAGATAAGGGCCAATTTGGCCCTTTTTTTTACAAGACTTCCAGATTAACACAGGCATAGTATTTTAAAAGCCATCCCAGGGTTAGAAATTGCGACCGATATGGTCGCCAATGCAACTAACATTTCATCCTTTTGGTTTAGTCACCATAATGGCAACTACATTTCTCTGTGTTGACGATCAATAACGGCTATTTTGTTATACATTATGTCCTTCTAGAAAATCATATTGAAAGATCTTTGCTTCTAAAACATTCAACATAAGAAAATAATTGAAGTCAATCTGTCCTTTTGCTTTGCTGCAATATTGATTCTCGGAAAACTTCCAAATCGCTGACCGTGTATGAAATCGCCCTACAATGCATTGCAAACCCTTTATCATTCACTACGTCATATATGCCTACAAAATGTTCTCTTGTAATGCACAGATCCTTCATACTAGTATCTGATTCAAAAGAAACTTCATTGAGTAGAAACACTTCAAAAAGCACTTATTAAATTTTATCATAGATCCAAATAAACTGCTTTATTTTCCTTGGTACCCTGATGCATTTTTTCCTTCTGTAGCTTTCAATTTATTGGCACCTATCCTAAAAAGATTGGCCCCTAAAAAAGGTATTTAGGGGCCACTTTGGCCCTCAAGTAAAATTTTCTGGCTGAAACACTGGTTGAGAGTAAGAACGTGCCGCTTAATGTTTCAGTCCCTTTTAGTCCAGTTGTACTGTGTGGCCTTTGTTTTGTTCCAAAACATCACGTCCTTTGACTTGCAATTTGCCTTCAAGGGACATTTCATGGCTGCAAGCATATTTTATTGTCATTCCTTTTGAAGGAGCACCTTGTTGCCATCTGGTGAAATAAGAGTACTCCCAGTGGGAGACAGCAATTCCTATCCTTAGACCTAGAGTATAATTGAATGATTCCTTGTTGGAGGCTTGTAAATCTGATCCTAGCAACCCACGTTTTTGAATTATTCAAGTACACAGCATTTATCAAAGATGCTTGCATTCCTATTTGTTTAAAAATGTATATTGACCAATCAACATGTGGTTAATATATCAGGGATGATGAGGAAAGATGTAGAGCAGCTGGTTACACATCAAGGAGTATGATGAAAAGTAGTGATGAGAGGTCATTTGCCTCCCAGTCAGGAACTACAGCATCTCCAAGGCNTATTGAGTGGGAATAGTCATTCACAGATGCAAGACATTGTAAACTAAGGTTATTGTGTGATGCAGATGAACAACAATTGCTTGATAAATTTCCTTTTCTGTCTATGTGAGAGATCTTTGACTGTTAGGACTGTCCACAGTGGATTGTGATGGCTTCAAGGTTTCAAATAACCTAAAGGCCAAAGAGCCTGGTGTCTTACCGACTTGGAGAGTGTGTTATGAGAACAACAGCAAAATGCAACTGATAGTGCCAAAGGCTGGTAGCAACTGGTTTTTAAGTGAGGGCAAGCACTTGACCTAAACATGAATGAGGTTTTCCTCTAGAGAAAAGGCCACATAGTCAGCAACCTCCTGGGAAGGGAGTTCTGGGTTTGGGTTAAGCCATATATTGTGAGTCTTCAGGCATATAGGAGAAATTACTGCAGTTAGAGAATAATAGAGAATTGACTTGAATTGGGAATTGTATGATCAACTATTGTGTTGTTAGTTTTGAAGTTGTTATTTGAAGGTACAGCACAAACTGGCAACTTGTTGAAAGAATGTTCATGTAGATGTCTCATTTTGATGGTATTGTTTCTAATGCAGCCATCATCTAAAGTTCATTCACCTTCTGTTACACCTTCACAATCAAGAGATTCATGTCATTTTAAAAGCAGCTGTGACAAGCCAATGGGACCAAAGTGTGGAGCTTGTGGAGAAGTGGGACACAACAAAAATTCAAAAATGTGCTCTCATTACTTCTCCCCAGAGGCTGTTCAAAGACGAGAGGTATTGTAACACTAAGAAAGCAAAACAATGTCATTTAGTCAAACTCTTTTCATAATAAAAAAAGTATATCCAGGAACTTAATTTTGGTTGAAGTTTCTGGAGTAATTGTTGTTCTTTGTGAGAGGATATGTGGATTAGAAAATTTAGCTTGTGTCTCATCAACCCCCATTGATTCAGAAGGAAACCGAGTCTTTAGTCTTAACAGTGTTGGGATTAGGAACTGATAATAATAATATTATTAATATTATGTTTTGGAATCTGCAGTAAACAGCGAATAAAAGTTGCTCATTTTGTATTTTTCAAGTGAAAAATCTTCAAAAGTAACTCCTATGAACACTCAGAACTCTCTTAGCATTTTAGCATGCAGTGTCAAGGTTGAGTTTCAGTTTAAAAAAGTTAAACCTCTGCCTGAGGTGGATCATGGATCTAAGCTCTTAATGTTCCACCTATTTTTTGATTAATTTATGTTTAGCGCTATAATCCTGAATGATGTAATTTAAAAAAACTTGTACAATCAAAGTGCTGCTGGATCATCTCATTATGAAGCTGTTTTACCTTTACTTGTTTCACAGAAGTGAGTCATATTCAGTCAACGTCTAAAGGCCACTTGTTTTGTCTTGTGTGTTAGGAACAATCAAGGAAGAGGAAAGCAAGGAAAGAGGAGGAAGAAAGAGACTTAACTGATCGTCTGGGTGCATTGGTAAGTAACATTTAGACTAAAGAAAAGTATTTAATAAATTAAGTATATTTTAAATAAAATTTATTTTGGTTAAAATCACAGGGAAAGGGGCATAAGCATGTAAATAAATTATTACTGACATTTTATGTCTTACTGATATATGCGAGTCCTCTAGTTTGTCTGTTGTACACAGTAACAAATTGTAATCACTGTAAAATTATAGATACTGTACCTGTACCTTGTAAAGATCCTCTGATCTTTGACACAAAACCCTACTTCCAAGGTATGGAAGTAATATATGAAACACAAGAGACAGTGTTTCATCGGGATGTCCAAACACCGAGAAGAGAGTTGAACATCTAATGCGCAGCGGAGTATTTTTGACGAATATAGCCGATGAAACACTGTCTCGCGTGTTTGATATATCTTCTCAATCGAAATCGTAATCGTTTAAGAAGCTTTGTTTTGGCACTGCATGGCTTGCTGTCCCTTTTCAGGCTGCTCAAAGATTGGTAATGGAGGAACGAACTAGAACCATAGGTGAACAACTAGATGAGCTAAGAAGACAATCTGAAAACCTGGCAAACACCCAAAAGATGGTAGAGGATGTAATAAAACGGAAAAGAAAGCGGTAAAGGGAGTGGCAGCAACGAAGGCTAAAATAAGTCAGCATTCAACCAATATGAAAAGAAGTATTTTATTACTGTATGATGAGCACAGTACTGTTATCTTCATTGTTATCAACTTATATGCGTTTGTTCACTTGTTCCAGTTTCTTTTGTTAGCAATCAAATTGTTAGTTGTTGGTAACTTCAATATTGCCATGAACTGCACAGTGCCAAACTGTTGCAAATTAATATGTCCTGTTTTCAAGGAATTTGTATCAAGTCTGTATATACACCATTCAATAATAGTTGACTACTTACCATCTTTAGAGAATGTAGATTTTTAATGAAATGAAATGTTATAATTTTTACTACAGGAAAAAAAAACATAAAACTATTCTTGCATGTTTCATTACATTTTGTAAGTTTTATTTCATATGTATAATTTAAAAGGGGGAAAATATTTTAAGATTAATAATACTTTCATATGTTTTAAATGCCAATATGCAAGGAAAAGTAGTGTTGTTGTTAAATGAAAACTAGTACAATAGTGGGCAACTTCGTATCAAAATATATATGCTACCCGGCTTCCTTTCTTGTCACTCTGGCTTGGCATCCTTCAATCTTACTGCATTTCCTCACAAAACAAACAAAAACTCCATTGTCAAAGGTTAATGTGCATAGTAAAGGGTAAATTGCATGGAGTAGTGATGTAAGTGCCTCAATAAAAGACTTGAAAGAAAGACAAAACAAGGTAACACATATACCTCATGCAACTAGCTGTCTTTCAAGTCTTGTTTTTATTGCTCTGTTCCTGTTCATGTTCCAATCATATATAGCCTTTGTATGTCTAGCTACAGCTGTAGTTGATGAAAAATTCATGAATATTATTTTAGCCTTGTAACCTGATCAATAAAAATGCCAAAAAGAGTCTTGTTTGGTACTCTTTACTACATTTGACTTAGCCTGCAGAACAGGTAGTTTAGTAAAGCACAGTGTGGAACAAAATACAAAAGCGAGTTGCAACTGACAAGCAAGCAAAGGAAAGTAAAAATATCCTGCCTGTGGACACATCATTTTTTACGCTTGTCCAACAGTTTACTTCAGTTTTTTGTGACTGGTTACTTGAGATCACTTGTTAAAAGAGTTGACAGCCTGTTCTACATGCTACATTTGACCAGGATTTTTTTTCAGATATGAACTATTTTGAGACTCTCCTCAAGCCTTATCACCACTCATGCTTTATTGTTTTTTATTCAATTAAAGATCTATTTCAGGTGTAAAGTTAATTTATATGGGCATCAAGTGTATCTTGTGTACAATTCCCTAAGATGTAGTTCCCTGAGGTGCTGTTAAGAGATTCAATTATTGATTCTCTCTTTCAAACAGATCAACCCTCAGCAGCACCATCTGCTTGTCTACACAAGTGAGAATGTCAATGTTCTCTCTTTTCTATCAGTCAATACTGCCATGTTTCTCTGGGTCTTTTCTACCCTCTAGTGCTTTAAAGTGATACTATGACGAAAATCGCATCTTTCCTATCTAAGCCATTTTAAAACAAACA